TGGCCCTTAGAGGAACTGGCGTAGCATCCAGAGTCCAGTAGGTCAAATGTGCATGTCAGTGACAGTAACTAAGGTTAGGGTCTGCCGAGAGTTGCAGGCCACTGGGCACAGGCCAGGGACTTACTGCCCAGCAGCTGAGTTACCTGGTTACCTTTTCCTATTGTATTTAAAGCTGGGCCTGCTGGGCCTGGGCTAATGTTTAACTCGGAAAGTGGAGCTTGTCCCAAATGGGCCCTCTTCCCAGTGGGTCCTTGGTTACCTTTTGCCTCGGATCTCGCCTGGAAAGTGGGTTCCGAGGCAGGTTGGTCTCCCCCTCTTTTCTCTGGCCTTGTCCTTAGCTTCCTCCTGCCTTTGGTTAAGTGTGTGTTTATATGTGATGCTATTATAAGTGGGATTATTGATTTCTTTTTTAACCAGTTCATTGTGAATGCATAGAAATGCTGATTTTTGTAACTTGCAGTTTTGTTGCATTTATTCTGCAGGGGCTTTTGGTGGATTCCTTGGGGTTGTCTATATGTAAAATCACATTATCGGCCAACAGGGCAATTTGACTTTTTAATTTCCAGTTTGGATGCCTTTTACTTTTGTCACCTCATTGCTCTGGCTGTGTGCCCTGTACTTACTGAACAGAGGTGGTGAGAGGGTATTCTTGTTTCCTGATTTGAGAAGAAAAGCCTTCATCTTTTTTACCATTGAGAATGATGTCTGTGGTGGGCTTGTCATATATGGCCTTGTTTGCGTTGAGCTACCATGTTTCTGTACCCTACTTTATTGAGAGACTTTTTAATATGAAAGGTGTTGAATTTTGCCCAGGGCTTTTTCTCAGTCTATTGAGATGATCATTTTTTTCTCTTTCTTATCAATCTGTGTATGTTGAAACATTCTTGCATTCTAAAAATAATTTGATCGTGGTGATATTGCTCTTAATGTGCTATTGAACTGAATTGTACCTTTTTATCTGAGATGAAGGTGCTTTTTCTCATTTGACCTATTCATAGCATGAGGCATATAACTGGGTGCCCTTGCATTTCTGGTTTGGTGGTTATTTCCGGTATCGTCCTCCTTGCGTATGTCTCTTTTTTTTTTTTTCTTTTGGTACCTGGGATCGAACTCAGAACCTTGCTCTTGCAAGGCAGGCAGCAGAACCACTGAGCTAAATCCCCAGCCCCAGCCCTTGTGTATATCTCTTACAGTAAAGTTATTTAGCGTGCCTCTGCTATTACTTATGATTTTTAGGGGCCGGGGTTCGATCCCTGGTACAAAAAAAAAAAAATTTGCGATTTTTATTTATATGGAATTTTGTGAGGTTTTTAAACCAATGCTTCATTAGAATTCAGAGGCTTTTCTTTACATGCTGAAGTTTAACCAAGTCTATGTTTTTTTGTTTTGTTTTGTTTTGGTATCAGGGATCGCATTTGGGACCTTGCGCTTGCGAGGCAGGCAGTGGCGCCACTGAGCTAAATCCCCAGCCCAAGTATATGTGTTTTTTAAGAGTTGATGTAACTCAACCATATTATCTAGGCTTTTCACTCCATAATAAGTGATCTGTTGGATTGTTTCTGGTCAGTTTTAATAATTCATATTTTAAACACCCAGTTCCTCTGCAGTTTTTCCTCTCAGTGTATCTATTTAGACTCTGTGACAGTTTCCTTCAGGCTAGCTGTTAGTGTGCTTTGGTTCCCTTTTACATTTTTACCTCATTTTTAATTTTTAATGACAAAATTTTGTATATTTATTGTACAGTGTTTTGAAATATGTATACATTGTGGAATGGCTAGCTAATTAACATATGCTTTACATCATATATGTGTGTGGTGCAAACACTTAAAATCTCATTTAGCAGGTAATCATTTGAAGATTATAATACACTGACTATAACCACCATGTTATACAGCAGGATTCTTGAACTATGTGAAGTTAGAGATGAAGGGTGTGGTAACTAAATCAGTCCACTGGTTTAGCACAGTTCTGGGTGTGGGAAATGAGAAGGTCCACCCTGGGTGTGGGTGGCACCAGCCAGTGGGCTTGAACCCTGGATGAGATGAAAGGGAAAGGCAGGCTCCCTGCGGGCTGTTTTCTGCCTGCCCTGCCCTGCACTACTTCTCCCCTGCCATGTGCCACCCTGCTTTGGAGCCAGCCAATGATGGGCTAAAACCTGCACAAACCGTGAGCTAAATAAATGTTTCCTCCTTTAACTTTGTAGGTGCTGTGCATTTTGTTCCAGCAGGAGAAAAGTAACTAAGACAGACTGAATCTATTCATATCTTTCCCCTAATTTAGAAAGTTTTCTGTTTGTTACTTTTGAGGCAGTTTTGCTGTGGAGTCCAGGTTGGCCTGAACTATCTGTGTAGCTCAGGCTGACCTCGAACTTCCAGTCCTCTTGCCTCAGCCTCCCAAGTGCTGGGAATATAGGCATGAACTACCATGCACAGCTTTTGTTTTTAGTTTCGTTTTTAATTGGGGTTTGAACCTAGGACCTCATGCATGCTAGACAAGCACTCTACCACTGAGGTATCGTTTCAGCTTTCTTTTTTTTTTTTTAATTTTGAAATGGAAGTTCTTTTAAATTTACCCAGGCCATCCTTGAACTTCCAGTCCTGCTGCTTTATTTAGCCTTTTGTTTTGTTTTGTTTTTTGGTACCGGGGATCGAATATTTAGCCTTTTGAATAGCTGGGAATATAGGTGTGTAACCACATGCTGGACATGCTGTTATTTTTAAAAATAAGGCTTCCTGCCCTTATGGCTAGCCATCTCTACTGACAGCTCTCTGGCTTGCCTTCCCTCCTTTCCCTCCCTTGTTTTGATACAAGGCCTCCTATGTAACTAGGCTGGCCCCGAACTCAAAATCCTCCTGCCTCAGCCTCCCAAGGGCCAGAGCTAACAGGTGCGTACCACCATGCCTGGCTCCTTATGGGTCTCTTTCATGAACTCCTATAACTTAAATATTTGCTTGTAATGCGGTCCCATAAATTCTGTAAACTCTTCACTTTCCCTTTCACTGTATTTTCAAATAATCTGCCTTTGAGTTCAGATTTTCTGGATTTTTGCTGTTGACATACACACTTATTTTTTCATTTTATTCTACTTTTCAGCTTCAGAATCTGATTTCAGAAAATAATTTCTCATTTTGCTTAGTTTCCCTGATCTCGTTTACCTGAAATTTGAGTTTGCCAAGTTTGAATTCGACAGTCAGTTCATAAACCTCTTTTCTTTATGGTCAGTTTTGGTGCTTAATTTTATTGCTTTGGAGGTGTCACATATCCCTAACTGTTCTTAACCCCATGGACTGCTGTCTGCACATGTAAGAAATAGGATCTTCTAGTTTTTCAGACTAACTTTTGGAAGGTCCTTTACCAGAAATTCTGGGCCAGCCATCTGGTCTGACTGGCAAGCAGGCCTGCTGGAGTCAGGCAGCTGACCTAGTACCTGAGTCAGGTCAGCAGGTAGGTGGGCCTGGATCCACTGGGGTAGACCAGTTGATCGCATCTGTGGGCATGGGATCAATATCCCCAGGACGAGCCAAGGGCTGGGCCAGGTGCAAATCCTGATCTTCAAGGGCTGGCTTCAAACCTAGGGACTTAGACTGGCCTGGAGCCTGGGTGTAGGGTTGTTGGCCTGGAACCAGGCTCTCTAGGGCCAGTTCTGAAACCTGGATCCTTGGTGGCCTGCTCAGTGCTGAAATTTACTGGGACAGGCCTAGACCTTGGGTGTTTTGGCACAGGGCTGTAGGGAGTGGACCTGTAGGATGGGGCCACAACTGGATAGGCTTGAAACGTGTTTCCCGGTGCCCGAGGTACCATCTTGGCACTGCAGTGGGAGCCTGGCCTTGGGATGGCCTGGAGCCTGTCTGAGGGTTAGTGTAGAGCCTGAGACTGGCCCAGTGCTGGGGTGGCTCCATACTAAGTGCACTGGGCTGGTCCCGCTTTGGTGTCCAGGGCAAAGTTCATGCTCATCTCCCTGTCTCCCCAGATTTCTCATCGCTGCCTGCCTGGGGCTGCGGAAGGGCTGTGTGTAATGCGATCTTGTCTGTCTGCACCCAGGCGCTGTAGGTTTCCTTGGCTCTTGTGAAGTTATTTTTGCACATGGATATTACAGTTGTTCAAACTGACGCTGGGGAGAGGGGTGAGTGCTGAAAACTCCTGTTCTGTCATCTTGAGAGCTCAGGTTCCTTCCGATCTTTGTTTTTATTTAACCAGTATTTTTTGCCCTATATTATGTTTGCTTAGCTATTTGAATTCAGTGTTTCCACTCATTTCTTTTTCTTTATAAATTTAAGTATTTAAGGCTGGGGTTTCCTCACTGAGCACTCAACCCAGTAAGTTCTGCTACATGGTAGTACAAACACATTTTCTGTGCTGTTCCACCAGAGGGGTTTCCCTTTTCAGGGAGACAGCAATATTATTAGTACGTGATGGCCAAGACATACTCCAGATCAATTCTGGTCCTTGTTTACTCTTCAGGGCCACACATGTTAACAGTGAGAACCAAGACCATAATATATAACTGTTACCAAATCTTTATTTGCAAACATATCCCACCCGATACCTTAGTGATCTATGGCTAAAATAGCTGAGATGTGTTGGCAGGGGGCGGCAGCACAGGCCACAGATAGCCGTGGCAAACACCTTAGTCATGGAGCCAAATTCACATCTCACCCGACCCAGCTTGTATTTTTTGTTGCCACCTTGGGCTGTGCCATCCGGTATGTTCACCACTGGGCAGCTGAGCACATCGATTACAGCTGGTCCAACTGAGTGCTGGAAGTGTGAAATGCCAGACTCAGTACAAAAAGAGTGCAAAACTTTTAAAAATTAATTTTGATGCTTTCGATATTTGGGGCTAAATAATACATTAATGTAGCTGTTTAAAGCTTTAAAAATGACATCGCTCACACATTGCCACTGGATAGCACTGCCCTCTCTTATCAGCCCCCTTCCCTCGAGCACACAGAATGCACTACATGGCCTGCCTGTAACCATGTGAACATAACACCATAATGCCAGTTTAGTATTAGCATTTATTTTAAAAATACACAAAATATAAATTTTTTACATCAAAGTTTGATAACCTCACTTGTACACTGTTCCATACTTACCTGGTTTCGTTTGCATCTCTTATGCAAATCAAGAGTAGATGGATTTGATTCTAATTTTTTGCTATGGTTCATGTAAACAGTTGAGACTGCTACATAAAGTAGGTGGTTGTAAAAGGTGAAGTGGCCACAGAGCCCAACAGTAAAACAATTCAATTTGGTTTAATGAAATTGGCAGAAGTCTTAACAAATAGATAATCTAAGACTAAATATTGGCTTCTGGGCATTTTAAATATTAAAAACCTTGAGGTTTTCTTCATCTTGTAAACATAACTTTGACTTTGTTGGCATGAAGTTTAAAAAGGAAAATATTAAACCGTGATTTTCATCGTCCTGCCCACATCAGTATACACTCTTTATTATGAGAATGAAACCAATTGATAAGCAAAATACACCAGGAATTTTCAAATTGTACTGCAAAGAAGGTCCAGCCAGCCTCTCTGGGAGCAGCCTCCTAAGCTGCCATTGCCCCAGCTGTGCAGGGTCCCCTCTGTCCCTGGACCTTGCAGTGCCACAGGCCCTGAGCTGTGCACTTCCTCTTGCTCTGGGGTCTTCTCAAGCAAGTCGAGACTCAGACTTCAGGCTGTGCCATCCTTTCCTTGGGTTCAGGTTCGCTGGGTTAGTGATTCGCTACTGTTGTCAAGACTGGACTGTCCCCTTAAGGTACCACATGCCACCATAGCTTACACAGCAGTCCTGGAAAAAAAGGCAGCGTTTAGCAGGAAAGGTAGCTAGTACCTTCTGTCCAGAATTTCAAAGTTCAATCTGTGATTAATGGGCGGAATATAAATAATCAAGAACTGCCTAATCACGCAGCTGCGGTAGTTACCGTTTCCTTCCTCAATGTTTTGGCCCATAGGCCACCCTTTCTTTGAGGATACAATGGACCCTCAGCCCGACATGAACAACTTGGGTTAATTAGATTAATGGAAGATGCATCTGCCTTTGTTATCTATAGCGTGTACCCAGGTAAACAACCAGCTTGGGTTACAACAGCCAGCCCTCGGAAACCCATCAAGTTCGTAAGTCAAGGGTCCACTGTATTTAAAAAATAAAAGACCTCTAAGTTGGCTAAAACAAAGATGCTTAAACTATCATATCACTTGTTCATATGGCCTTGAATGGTCAGTAGCTCAAAATATGGGGAAGTATATCTGTACCACAGTCAGTTCAGAAAAGGATTCCGGGTAATATACTTAAGTACTTTCATAATACTACTTGACATAATATTCTTTTTCATATTTAAGTTGAACAAGGTAATTCTACTCAAAGTCATACATTGTACAAGCTTAGTATGTGGCTATAGCAACACTCGTGAGAACAGTGCCAGGTTCCCACGCGGGCGGCCAGGGTTCCAGTCAGCCTGTCCTTTGGAGGACAAGGATGACCCACGCGCTCATCCTGCTGGACAAGATGGCCTCCTGCACAGACCCAGCACCAGCCTCTGCCAGTTGTTGACCATCAGAGTGGCTGGGAGGGCCCTACGGAGGCTTGCTTTATTTAACACGGACACACCTGGCACAAAGGCACCAGACTGGAACTCTTTCCTTACAGTCGGGCATCCTCCTCTTTGTTCCACCCTTGTCTAAGGTGGCACTCAGCTGAGGCCCACGGCCTTTGATAAGGGCTATGCCTAAAAAGGACATACCTTTAGCACTTTATCCACCTCCTGTTTGCTTAGATCTTCTCCACACTCTTGAGTCAAACGTGACTGGATCATGTTCCGGCGTACTCGGTAATTTTTGGAAAAAATTTCAAACAAAACCTGTCGATGCTTTAGTAGCAAAAATATGTTAATATGAGAAACAGTAACCTAAAAGTGAAACACTCCCCAGTAAGACACCTAAAGCCATAGACCTAACCCCACACTGCAGTCTCTGATAAAATCCTTGCCTCACATTTCTGGTCAAAGATCAGCAAATTTGGTCAATTTGTCTTCTCTCCAGATCCCAGTCAAGGTATGTGCTCATAAAAGAGCCGGCAGAGGGACTCAGGATGAGCAGCTTGGACATACTTTTGGGTGATAAAGGGTGATGACTGTCTTAGCAGGGAGGGAAGCCACAATTCAAACTGCATGGAAATGTGGGAAGGGCTAATGGTGTGTCCAAACTGGGTACAGTCCGCACAAACATACCATCGTGCCCATGAAACAGGACAAAATCCATTATGCCCCAAAATAAAAATTACAGAAGAGGTGAAATCACCACAAAGGCAGAAAAACTGGTAAACGATCAGTATCAGACAGAAGAACCCTAAAACAGCAGAAAAAGGTAAAGGAATTATCAATTCATAGGGTTTTCTAAGAACAACTATTTAAGATACTGAATTCAGAGTAGGAATGAAACTGCACCAATATATAGAATAATGTAAAACTCTCCAGCTTTTGATAAAGGGAAGGGTAGGGATCAACTTTAAAAGACCAAGAAGAATGTCACTGAATTTTTGACAGCTGCAAAATGGAGAAACCTTTTATTCAGGGAAAATATTTTGCCCCTTAAAATTCTAGTCCCAAACGATAATATCTGAGAGCAAAAGAAAGCCATTTGAAAGTGCAGACAACTCCTCTGACCCCTTAGAAGCTAAAATAAAGCAAGGAGGAAGCTAAGGTTCTAGAAACCAGCAAGATGAGGAAAAGCAGGAGGTAATGAATGACAAGCTTCCGGGGAACCACGCTCAAAGGTGTCACTGCTGCCATGTGTTCAGGGCATCATGCAGGTGGAAACAGGAAGTTAAAGAAAGAAATGCAAGCATACAGTGCACTACTGATCTTTGGCCCTACCACAAACGCACTCTCAGTTCTTTCAATTATGCTATAAGCAGTAATCATTGATTAAACTGAACAGTAGTCTTTAAAGCTATCTACACTTTTCCATATTCTCCCAGAACAGCTGAGAACTAACCCTCCACCTCCACCAGCAGCACAAAAATGGCACTAGCTTCTCAGTGGGGTCTCCTTGTAAGTGATCACATCTGAGGAATGAAGTTGGGTGGGGCTGGAATCAGTGTCCCCATAAAGATTTAGTCTTATTTGTTGGGGGGCGGGTGACTCAAGAACACTTATCACTGAGCTGCATCTCAGCTCTTTCCTTACTAAACTGCTGAAGTGCAACCCAAACTTTCGGTCTTCCTCCTGAGTGCTGACCACTTATAAGCATGTGCTATGCCTGGCTTCTTTTTTCAAATATACATTTACTACTTTTTCTTCAAGTTATCACAGTATTTCGGGAGTGGGAAAGCCAAAGGCCACCTACTCTGGCCTAGAGCAAGGCTGGTTCATCTTCCTATCTTCCAGGCCAGAGGAGACAAAGGCCCCGCCCACTTCTCTGCCCATCAGCTCCCTCTAAGGAAAAGGGAGAGAGCTCCCTTTCTCAGGTCGATTGCTATCTTAGCAATCAAACCTTAACTTTACACCATAGAAAACTTGTGGACCTCAAGGTCTATGGCTCTGTACCATGCAGAGAGCACCACTGGACACCTGGGAGCCTCTCTGCCAGGTGAGACTAGAGACAAAGTGACCCATCTCTCTAACCTAAAAATCGAGGGTCTGAACCCGATAAGGAATCCTTCAGATTCCTGCACCTGTGGTTTCCAAGCCCAGCTGGGCATACACAGGGACTGTGTACAAACTTGGATACTTAGGTTACTACCCACGACTAAATGGAATTGTATCTCTGCAGTGCACGCTGGGAATCTACCTTTTCAAAGGTAATTCTGACGCTGCCCCGGCCCCAGACTACAGTTTGGGATCCACAGGTTCAGACTCAACCCACCCGCCTGCCTAGCCTATCGATGGCATACACTGGGGAGAAGGGTCAAGAGCAGAGAGGCTGGGAAACCTGAACAGTACAGGACTGCTCCGCTGCACGGCTCCCAAAGGCCTTAGCAGTTCAAGGAGTCGCCGCCCCCGCCCATCCAGAACGCAGATGGCAGCAAAGGTCACCCTACCTGATCGCTCATGTCTCCAGACTCCCAGAGGGCAAACACCTTCTGCTCGTTCGGGGAAGCAGCAGTCTGTCGGGGAAACTGACCCACAAGCACGCGTGAGTTGATCATCTGCCACAGGGCCACAGTTCCTTACCCACCGCCCCCCAGCCCGCGTCAGCACAGTCCTAGGGAGGTGTGTTCCAGTCCCAGCCCCTGCCGCGCTCTGGCTGCGGGGTCCCGACAGGGCTGCCGTGGGACATGGTGACCTGCACAGGAAGCCTGCAGGTGCCTGGAATAAGGAAAACTGGGTTCCTCTAGCTCTGGCATCAGTGCGGCCTTGGTGTCCAGTGTCCTCCTGCCCTGAGGTGCTAACCCTCTGATGTGTCCCAAAAGTGCCCCATTCCCCATCAACCTTAGAGATACCCAGGGCTTCCTTTCAGTTATTCCCACAAGGACGCATTAAGTGTGGCTTAGAGGCATTGCCCAACTCCCAAGATATCCACGGTACTTGCACAGCAGGGGTGGCAGGTGGCCTGGGAAAGGGTGACATGGGTCTGGTACCTGGAGAGGGACAGAGGAAGGGGTCCCTGGTACAGTGGGTTCCAGTCCTGGCTTCACAGCGTAAGTAACACTGATCACTACTGTATCATAAAGCTTGCCAACTCATTTGGTCATCAGAAACCAAGTCGTACCAAAGCGTTGCTACGCTCGCTCCTACATGAGGAAAAGTAGACTCAAGAAAGGTTTATCCCCTGCCCACGGCCACGCGGCAAAGTGGCAGAACTAGGAATTACATCCGTGAGTCCACCTGCTCTCCCTAAGCCACAGCTCTGGTGTGAAAAAGAAAGTCGGACCTGAAGCCTCTCCCGTCCGTGTTGGACAGGCCTGGGATACGGTCACCATGCCGGATCACGGGAGAGCGCACCACACAGAGCCAGAGCAAGAGGAAGGAACAGTCAGAGCAGGTCCTGCGAGTGGTCCTCACTTCCTCATCTCTGCCCAGGCTGCCCTTCCCTCGGCAGCCCCGTGCACTGAAACAGGCAGACCTGCCAAGAACCAGACACACCTGCTGGGTGGCCAGGACCTTCTAAGGAGACCTCAGCACGGAGGCTGGAGAAGCCAGGCGGCGTGACATTCACGGGGCTGCTGTCCCTCGCGCACACAGGTAGACCCTGGCCTGCAAGCATTGCCCTAGGCCGCAGGTGCTTCCCACCTCAGCAATGGAGAGGTCCACGGCCCCTTCTGAAGAGAGCCGCAGACCACCTCACCCCATTTGCTGTCAGGGCTGGTAGGAGAGAAAACCCCAACTGCCTCCTCTCGGCTGTAGCCAGTGTGTCTTCAGCCTTAGCTAAGGCGCCCATCTTGACACACACTCTGCTCCTCCATTTCTCCCACTGACAGAAAAGCTGAGGTGCAAGTGGCTCGCTCTGCCACCCTCAGGGCTGGAGACGAAATGTGGAGCAGCCGTACAGCCCGCGTGGTCAGCGAGTTGCTGGGCCGCTGGGACACCAGTGCTAGGGAGCCAGTCCCCTCACCTCAGCTACAGGAGAAAGGATGGAGCCGCCACCCTGAGGTACAAATCCAGCTCCGCCACGGCCTGGGTGGCTGCTTGCAGGAGCACCTGCGTTAGCTGCGGCCCTGCTGGAGAGCGGACAGCAGGCCAGGGCCTCCAGATCTCTCCTCTGGTCCCATCATACCAAGACCAAATCACCCCACTTCAGACGAGGACACGGCCACAAACAGCCACCACGGGAGAGCAACACTCACGCCAAGGATGCCCCCAACTCTCACATCCCCACGGTGCCTCACAGCCAGGGAAGGTGCTGCCCTCCCACAGGGCCGTGGGGGCCTCGTTTGCTCTCCCTGTCCTGGCAGGCGCAGGCTGTACTTACAGGCACCAGTATCTGCTTGCAGCCAGCAGCCAGCACCGTGTCCTGCAGCATGTGGTCCGAGATGCCACTGAAGAGCACGTGGCCGCGGGGCAGGCTGGCCACGTGCTGGTTGAAGAGGCGCTTGAGTTCGCTCAGCGTGAGCACAAACTGGCTCTGAAAGGTGGCCTCCACGAAGGCCCGCAGTTCCCGGGCCACAGGAGTGCTGGCACAACCTGGGAGCGGGTGCCCATTGAAGCTGTCCCCGCCTGCTGCCCGCCCGGCAGGCAGCCCGTTGGCCAGCCTGTTGCTGAGGTCATCACTGGGCGAAGTGTCCATGGGCTCCTCCTCTTCTACTTCCTGCCCGTCCTCCTCCTCTCCCTCCTCGCTCAGGGGCTCCTCCTTGATCTGCACACCGGGCAGGGCCATGGACACCTGGAGCTGCTCCTTCTGCTGCTGCAGCTCCCGCTCCAGGAAGGTGTGGTTCTGCTGAGCCTTGGCCTTGGCTGCCTGGATCCGCTGGTCCCCCGAGACCAGCCTGGCAGGCCCTGTGGGGGAGAGCGTCACTCAGGAGTGAACAGGACCCAGGCTCCAAAGACCTGCACGGACCGGCTGGGGACAGCAGCACAGGGCCAGGTGCTTGCGCCCCCACCTTGCTAAGGGAGAGCTTAGCTACCCCAGTGATGAAGGAGGAAAATCAAACCACACGGAACCGGTCAGTGCTGAACTACTGACCCAACAGAACCAGATACAGCCGTCAGCTACACAGACCTCACTGCTGAGGCTGGGGACAGGAGGGCACAGGAAGGGTGAACAGAGCTGCTTGGGAGGCTGAGGCAGAAGGATCAGAAGTCCGAGGCCGGCATGGGCAACTTCGTGAGACCCTATCTCAAAAAGACACAGGGGGCCGGGGATTTAGCCCAGTGGCACCACACCTGCCTCGCAAGCGCAAGGTCCTGAGTTCGATCCCCGGTACTGGAAAAAAAAAAAAAAAAGGATCGACGAGATAGCTCAGCGGTAGCCTGCTTGTCTAACATGCGTGAGTCCCTAGATTCAATCTTCAGTATGGAAGAAAGGGAGGGAAGGGAAGGGAAGGGAAGGGAAGGGAAGGGAAGGGAAGGGAAGGGAAGGGAAGGGCCCACAGTGAGAGCCATCTGTTCCTTTCCCTAGGCCCAAGTTTTGACCCACTCTGGAGAAGCAGCCCTTCTGGGGGCCCGGGCGCCCGGGGGCGGCTGCCCAGCTCAAAGTCCCACGTACCCGCCTGTCCATCCGGCTTCTTTGGCATGGTTTCCTTTCCAAGATTATAGACTTTTTCTAATCTGAAAAGAAGAATAAACCCTTTGACCCTAAGCCACACTCCTACCCCCTGCCTCAGGACAGCATCAAGCCCCAGGCCGGCCTGGCCAGGGCCCTCTCCCGGGGCTCCACGTGCGCGTCCACTCGGTCAGCTGGCGCACCAGGGCCACAGTGGGGAGGAGCCCACCTCCCCCCTCCCCAGCCCCGGTGCTTTCCTCTCTCCGACCCCCAGAACCCGTCAGCTCTGACACCAGGGCAGTGACTCCTGGCGGGAGGAGAGTGGTGCCCTAGAGGCAGGGCCCGGGGCCGCCCGGTCCAGGCAGCAGCCCTTCACAGCTCCCCCAGGCGCATACTTAGCCTGAATGCCCATCCACAGCAAGTGCTGCCGCTGGACCACATCCGGGTGCTTCTTGATGAACTCCCCATCGTAAGGCAGTAGGAACTCCCAGCCTCTGTTGGCCCTCACCAGGGCCATGTGCTCCAGGAGGTCCCTCACGTCCTCGGCGCAGAGCTGGTGGGCAGCAGGAGGGCAGGGCAGGGTGAGGCGCAGCCAGGCCCAGCTCCTCCCTAGCCGCAGCCCCGGGCTCAGGCCAGCAGAGCCCACTTACTTTGGTCACCGCCGCCACCTCTCTCCGTACCGCCCAGCGGCTCTGTGTGAACCTCCACATCTGCGGGAGAGAAGCGGCATGGTGCAGGGCTTCTCCGAAGGCTGACCCTGGGGCCTCGGTGAGGGCCCAGAGGGAGGTCGGCGGCTGGGCCTCAGGCAGGCCTGCTCCTCGCCGTGGGCCGTGGGCACTCACTCCAACTGCATCTCGGCTTAGTGCTTTGGCGCTCTCCCCTGGGACAGCTGGGCCAACGCACCCCCCACCCCACAGAACGCGAGCACCCCGCAGAACGCGCACGCCCTGGGGGAGAGGCTTTGCCCCACCCGGTTCCCGCCGCGTCCGCAGCATGCCCCCCCCCCCCAGGGAGGCTGCAGGAGGACACTGCGGGGGGCTCGGCCCTCACCGGCAGCACACCGAAGCCCCCACGCTGCCTCAGCAGCCTTTGCCCCCAGTTACATCCCGGGGTCCCCGGAGGGGAGGGTGCAGGTCTGAGACACGCACTTAGCGAACCAGGCCACCACCTGACAGCATCTGCACGACTCCGGGAGTGGGGAGCAGGCAGGGGCGGCTGAGGCTGAGGGCACCCTGCGCCCCGAGATGAGAGCACACTGCTCAGGCCTTGGGGACCACCCAAAAGCCAATCGGGAAGAGAAAACACAGCTACTCCTCAAACACTACAGGGCTCCCCATGACAAAGCCTGCACAGGAGCGTGTGCGTCAAAGGTCCTGGAGGGAGGGCAGCGCCAAGAGGAGAATTTCATCAAACTCAAAGCAAAGTGCTAAGGTCTAGGGAGGCGGTGCCGACCCCAGCAGCAGGGGTTGGAGGCTGGGGGTGGGGGTTAGGCTCTGGGTGTGGAAGGGGCAGGCAGGGGGGAAGGAGGGACGAGCTAGCTCTGCAGACAAACTTGGGGCTGTGGGCCCAGCACTGTCACACTGCCCAAACAGTCACGAGAGCTGTTGTGTACCAAGATTTTGATCTGTGCCAATCAACAACCCAGGCAAGACTCTTCAAAAGCCGCCCAGCCAAATGAACCGTGCTGCGGGTCCAGAAGGGAGGACTGAGGTTCTCACGGCCCACCCGAGACACCAGAGTTCCCAGAGGAGGAGGGGGGAGGCAGGCAGGTCAGCGGCCGCAGCAGCCCCACCCCACCCTCCCCCATCCCCCCAGGAGCTCAGAGGGCCAGGGCACATACCACGAAGTCCCGGCCCCTGCAGAGCACCTCGGCAGGCACGCCGCTGTGAGGGCTGGATGAGTCCTTGGGGTACAGGATGTCGCTGCCAAGGCAAGAGAGGTGGCCGGTCAGTCCGGGCCTCGAATTGGGCCCCTCTGCTTTCTCCTCTCCAGGCTACACCATTCCCTACCGTGCTCCCAGCTCACTGGCCCAACATCCTCTTAGGGGGCTCCTTGTCCTTCGTGACAACAGTGCACAATGTAGCCGGGGCCCCTGTACCCAGCTTCGCAGGACAATCGTATCTTGGTCTGAGACCCGCAGCCTCCTCCGAGACCTGGCTCTATAAATACTCATGTGGAAAGCAGCGGCCCTCACCCATGGTGGGAGCTCCTCCTCCTGGCCCTAACCCTTCTCAAGCCACCACCCACATACCCGCAAGGCCCAAGGCAGGGTCAGGGGCCCCGAGACAAGCCTCAGGCTGCAGGGAGCCCAGGACCCTCTGGAAGACCGCAGTCCTGTGCGAGTGTGTGGTGCCAAGTGGAAGCCATAGCGCTGGCGCGAGGCCTGTGACACCTGCTCACGGGTGGGTGGATGAGCTGAAGTCAGAGGTCGGAGCCTGGGGCCCAGACAGGGAAAGGCCCTGGGACAAAGGAGTGTAAGGCTTCGGAGAGAACAGGACACACACTCAAGGCCCAGAAGTCTCCTCAGCAGGACCGTGACCCCAGGCAGCCCGTGACCGCCTGCAAGGCCGGGCTCCCCAAGGACCCGGGGCTGGGCTCGGCTGCTACGCCAGAGCAGGCATCCACCAAGTGCTTCGGCTCCACTGAGTCAGGCACGTGGCGTGGATCTGAACATCCAGTGTGCTCAGATTTTTGAGGACAGGGACAGCACAAAACACGCAATCGAGGCATGTTCACTGAAAAAAGTGAGTTTTACTGTCACAGGGACACAGGGGAGACTGCCCCTCAGGCTTGTGGCGCGCATCCTGGGCCCCAGAGCAGGGCTTACAGAAGCACCTGAGGCAGATGGAACACTCAAGGACCCCAGGGAGAACCTGGCAGGGCAGCACTCCCAGGGGCACACGCAGCACTAGGCAGGGTCCAGCCCAAGCCCCATAGGCCCGGGGCTAACCCAGCTGCCGGGCTGCCTTGCTGTGAGAAGGCCAGGAAGTCTGTGCCTCTCTGGGCGGGGTCTCAGGTGTGTGATGGCACAGCCCTTCCTGGCTTTCATCATTCACACATCAACGCACACACGTGCTGCCATGTAACAAGCAGCATGTTATTGCAAAGCCATTCTGTGAGGAAAAGCTGGATAATTCAGGACAAGACCCAGGCACCTGTTTACCGTGAAAGGGTGCTACCATGTGGGAGTAACATGAATACACTTTACATTTGCTTGGCTAACCAAGAAATGGACTTTTGCAATTACTTTTTTAAAAAATCTGGAGCTATTCACATTCTGTCAGAGTATTTACCTTATACTGTAGCACTTAAAAAGTAAATCTCTATTGATATATTTTATGTTATACCATTTTAAATTATTATAATTCAAGTATGCATGATATCACCATGCTGCATTTACCAAGGTTCTGCTGAGTCCAGGCACTAAGGGACTGGGGGAGCCAAAACAGACTATCTCTACTCCCCCTAAACTGATGGTTTAGTTGAGGAGACGGCTAGTCTAGGGGGGGGACTGCAGAAGGGAAACCACCCTGGGGCACTGAGACACACAAATTCAAGATCCCTGAACCCCATCAGGATATGTAAAAAGAAATCACACTTAGATCAATGAAACTACAGAAAGCCAAACAGGAAACAAATTATCTCCAAAGGAACAAGAATTTGACTGACAATGAACTTGGCAATAAAAACTGAGGTCAGAACACAACAAAATTATATCACTGTGTGGAAGGAAAATAACCACCAACCTAAAATTCTACACACCATCAGAACATACTTCAAGAACAAAAATGAAGTAAACTTTTCCAGATAAACAAAAACCAAGGAAATCTATCACCAGCAGATTAGCATCAAAGAGAATACTTTAGACAGATGGAAATTACACCAAACAGAAACTGAGGTGATGGGGCCGGGGATTTAGCTCAGTGGTTCCGCTGCCTGCCTCGCAAGCACAAGGTCCCAAGTTCGATCCCCAGTACCAAAAAAAAAAAAAGAAACTGAGGTGATGCAGGAATGATGAGCACAGCAAAAAGGGAGCTATGGGAGGAGACCCAAAGAACACTCAGAGGATAAGGTAATGTCTTATAGGGCTTACAACATAGAGAACTAAAATATACAAATACTGCAACACAAGGAGCTGGGAGGATAAATAAAAACTATTCTAAGATTTTGAACTTTCTTTGAAGAAGGCAAAAGCAACAATTAAGATGAAGGTGTGGTAAGTCATGAAACTGCAAAAAATGTCAAGAGAACAACTTCCAAATTAGTAGGGAAAAATGAATAAAAAAGAATCAAGTAGAAAAGGTCAAATTATGAATATAAAATGCAATGTAGGCAGGACAAATAGAAAGCACTCCGGTAGATTTAAACTCAAAACATCAGTAATTGGCCTAAATTTAATGGCTCGAGTAATCCCATCAAGAGCCTGCAGGCAACCTACCTCTTCACCACCCAGTTTCCTTGGACTAACATTGCCACCTTCTGGATGCCACGAAGAACAGCCACGGAATCCACAGAGGGGCCCAGGAGGCTCATCAAGTTGGCAAAAGGCATGACCTTCACTGAGGCAGACAGGAGAAGGCTCATCAGTCAGGGAGAAGGGGCCTGGCCCTACCAGGCCTACACAGCATCAAGCTCACACAACCTCCTCCGACGCACTCAGAGCGGCATCAATAACAGTGAGAAGAGCCAGCACTGCCTGCCAGCTGTGTGCTGGCTGGGTGTGCCCAGGAGTCTCACAGAACCCTCACGCAATCAGGAAGGCTGGGGAGTGCCTGAGGAGGACACTGTAAGGTTTCAAAGCTCAGCTACGTCACCTGGCTAGGGAGCACCACAGCCAGGATTTAACACCAGGCCATGCGGCTGCAGAATCTGCCCTTAACCACTGTGCTCTGCTGACCCCCAAGCGAGAATGGGGCAAGGCCTCGGGGGAGGGGGCTGGTCCAGATTCTCCTCCAGGAGGCCGGGTCCTGGCACCCGGGAAGGAGCTCCCATCTCTAAGCAAGCTGAGGCCTTCTGTGGGCACCCCAGAGAAGTCTGGGGCCCGGCTCAGCTCTGCCCCTCACCTGCTACAGGCCCCTGGAGACCAGTCCACACTGTCCAGTGCTGGTGAGGGCCCCAGGACAGTGCACAGAAGAGTGCTTCGTTACAAGCTGGGCGTGGGGCTCACACCTGAACCCCGGCACTCTGAGGCCGAGGTGGGGGGACTGCAAATCTAAGAGCAGCTTAGGCAACTCAGCAAGAGCTTGTCTCAAAACATGAAAGGGCTGGAGATACAGCTCAGTGTGGAGGCCCCGGGGTTCAGTCCTCAGTACCGCAGAAGCACTTTATTATGAAAATGAGCCCCAGTTCACGCTCCTACGCAAAGCCTATAGTAAGCCCATTAGAAGCCTCACCTCTGACTCCTCCTCGTCCCCCAGACAAATGAACTAAAGCTCAGAAGGCCAATGGCCTGCTCAGGGCCCCACTACAGGGAAGTGACAAGGGCTGCAATGTCCAGAGAAGAACAGATCTGCAGCTGGGCACCTCTGCGTAGCAGAGCCCTCCGGCCTTGCCCCTGGCTCCCCAGACTGCCCCACAAACTCCATTTCCCCAGGAGCTGGCAGGGGTGAGGGGCCAGAGGGTGGCACTCACCATTCTTCATCAGTATCTTGATCTGGTCGGCCAGGGGCAGCGTGCGCAACTGGGCCATGGACAGGACGTTGCTGGGGGCCACCGGTTTGTCTCTGTTGAAAACAAAGGTGGGGACTGGAGGGTGGGGGTGGGGGGCGGGGGTGCAAGCAGTGGGCGCCCAGTCCCTTCCTCACCTCTCCTCCTCCTGGCTGGGCGGCATCAGCATCATGAGGTACTCGCTGCAGGGAGGGGTGGTGGTCAGAGCCACTGCGCCTCTGTCCCCGCTGCAACCCCTCCTGGCAGGGCAAGGTGAGACCCCCACAGAGAGGCGGGTGCCCCCTTCAGGTCACCCTCTTAGCCCCCCTTTACCCTCCCCGCACAAAGGGCCCACGGTGTCCAGGGAGGACCCTCCCAGTGCCCTGGGCCAGCATCTGCCAGTCCCACCTGGGTGACTTGACAAGCTCCGTGTTCTCCACCCCACTCGAGCCCTGGCACAGCAGATACTGGCGCTCATGCTCCGAGCGGCTGTCCTGCTGGGGGAGGGCAAGGGCTCAGCCGAGCATCCAGTCCCACCCTGCAGCGCCTCCCACTCTGCCCACCCTGTCCTGCTCCAAGGCCAGCCACAGAGCCATACTGACCTCTGAGCATGGGAGCCAGGCCTGCAATGCGACCTCAACCGCCTACCTCCTCGGCTTTGTGACCTGCCCAGCCCCAGTACCTGGCTCACTTTCCCGTCTACGACACAGGAACACAACCAGTAGTGGCTAAAATAATAGTTCGCGTTCACTGAGCACCTACCACGTGCCACTCTATCCTAGGGGCTGCACACATACTAGTACATCTCACACACGAAACAACTCTGCAGGGGTTCACCCTTCCTACATTACAGGTAAGGAAAGAGGCCCGGAGAGGCTAAGTAGCTGGCTCAAGATTACACAGCAGGAAATAGCACCGGTCTCAAGTCTGACCCTGAGACTCTGTCAATGCAAATCTCTTCCAGGAAGGACCCACTAAAATCAGGCGAGCACTGAAGAGTCCCTGCCCCAGTGTCTTTGGGAGCTAATATTCAACTGCTTCCATCACTCAATACACAGTTCCCAAGACCAGGTTAAAGTCGATGCACACAATAAAAAATAGTGCATACGAAAGTCCCCCTGGGCAGCCGAGCCTTGAACTCTGGGGTGAACTTGGGTGTGACAGATGGCACACAGAGGCACCAGGGTCCGTGGCGTGTGAAAACATGCAACCAAACACTGCCCCACTGCGAGCCCAGCAAGGCGCTCGTGCTCCGGAGGGTCCAAGGGAACAGGAGGCTGGCGTCAAGGACGTCAGCTGTCGGGGGCACAGACTGCGCACGACGGAAGTGGAAGTAAATGACAGTGAGACGCAGAAGCCACGCCAGGCCCTCGCAGGGCTCACCCTCAGCCCGTGGTAGTGCAGGTGGACCCAAGGCTCCTCCGCGTGCTTCTTCTGCAGGAACTCGTAAGACTGCACGCGGCGCTGGCGGGCCTGCTCTGACTCCGGCCGGGAGAAGCGTACCTGGGTGGGGACAGGTCACACACTCAGGCCACTGGCACTTCCAGGCTGCCATCCCAGGGAACACGAAACGGGGCTATTTCCACGCCACTTCCCTTTTCATTTCCTGCCTTGGGCCCTGGAAACTCAGTTCCAGCCCCGTTCCTCTCTGTGACCCTCTGACACACGCCAGGAGCACCTTTCTCCTGCCTCTGCCTGCCCTGCCCAATTGCAGAATCCCGAGGTGTGAGGCCGGCCTCATCAGATAGGGCCCAGAATCGCCCAAGGGGAAAGGGGCTTCCTAAGGTCACCCAGCAACCCCCAGCCATCTGAGTAGCACCCCAGGTCAGCGCAGGCCAGGCCAAGTCCTCAGGGACATGCAGCCACACGCCGCAGCTCAGCCGCAGCGCAGATGCCCGTGCCCGCTCACGATCCACCTACACGTGCCTGGACGGGGCCTTTACAGACCACTAATGGACAGCAATATTCTTCTAATCTTTCAAATTCAGGAACAACCAGTATTATAGAAACTTCTCATCTGTGTTTGCTAGGGTTCCTGGGCCCAGCCAATTCCCACCAAGCCCCGGGAATCCCTCTTACGCGTGCAGGACTACGGCCCTGTTTACAATGGTGATAAGCTGGGGTTAGGATACTCCCGCCAGGCAGCCAGCAAGGATGCTGGGAGACATTCTGCACCGTCACACCCTGGAGAGGCCGAGTCCCTTCTGCTCACACCCTCCCCGCTTGCTGTCTCACCTCCCAGGCCAGAGCTCACCGTGATCTGCTTCACATCCTCCTCCGCCTCATCCTGCGAGGAGTCCCCAGCTGTAAGAGAAGCAAGAGAAGTCTCCACTGTTTGCAGCCCCCCACCACAGGGAGGCCCCATGAAGGTAGGTCTGGGAATCCTCCCACACATGCAGATAGCTGCCTAAGTCTGGTCTCAGCAAAGGCACTTTTGCCTCCCAGGGACATTTTGGCAATGGATGCAGGCAGACTGTCTCAACCTTGGGAGTAGGTGCTTCTGGCATCCAGCAGGCAGAGGCCTGGGATGCTGCTGAGGACCCTAAAATCTGACCTTTTCAATACTTTTTCCCATGCCAAGATGCAGACAGACAAACAGCAGGGCTAAGGATCCAGACTCACCCTCATTGGCTGCTTCCCTCTCTCGATGCTTGGCATCGGCCTTATCCAAGTAGGAGAAGCTGGGCCTCAGCTGTAGGATGCCATGTAAAGGCGTCAGGTGGAGCTCACCTGCAGAGGAAGAAGGGCTTGAATCTGCTGGAATCGAAGCCGACGCACCCAGCTTGGGTCAAGGGAGTCAGCAGGTCCCCTGAAGGTCTAGGCCAGTGGTGGTGAACCTATGGCACGTGTGCCACAGCGGGCTATTTGTATCACTGAAAGCTCTAAAAGGTTTGCCACCACTGGTTTAGGCCTACTGCTAAACTACCTCCCACCCTGCTCCGGACCCCTTAGGATCACTGGGTTAGGGCCCACTGCCAATTCTGCCTGGCCCTGCTGGACATGGCAGGCAAACACCCAGACCAGGACATGAGCCTGGACTCCGCTGCTCAAAGCCATTTCCTGCAGGTCCCCCTCCAACACTCCCCATCGCTCACAGGCCCTCCCACGTGGGTCCCAGCTCCTCTCCCGAGTGCTTGCCTGAACACACTGGGCACCTACCCCTTTTCCCCTCCAGGCCTTCACCAGACCAGACCCCAGCACAACCCCCTAGATTTCTCCTCCTCCTATCAAAACCCCACCCATCCCATTAAGAAGTCTTGGTGCCCAGTCTTGGCTAGGGAAGCCCAGTGGAGGGTGTCTATGTGGTCTCTGACCAAGACTGTGACTTTCCTTGCAGTCCTAGCTTTAAAGAACTATGGCCTCAAGACACAGCTCCAAAGAGAAGACTATAACTACTGGACACTACACTCTTGATTCTAGTTTGTTTTCTCAGTGTTCACATTAGTTTCATTTACTACTTTATAGACTCTAAATACTTAAGCACCTTATACTCCTTATCAGCCTGAGATATGACTCAATGCCCTAAAAGCCCTCCATGTAATTCAGTGTATTTTAATATACTCTGAATGTGCAACCAGCACCACATTCAATTTTAGAACGTTTTCATCATCCCCAAAAAACCAGTCAATCCCCACTTCACTCTCCCCTAGGCTCCTGGAAACCACTGACGCACTTCCAGTGGCTGTGGATTTGCGTATTCGAGACATTTCACATAAATGAGACAAGCATGTGCGGCCCACCGTGCCCAGCTTCTCCCACTGAGCAGTGTTCTCAGGCTCATCCATGTGGCAGCACAGGCCCGTGCTTCACTCCTTCGCTGGCTGAGGTGTACGGACCACACCTTGTTGAAGCAGTCACCAGCTGATGGGCCTTTGGGCTGTTTCTACTTTGGGTGGCCATGAATAAAGATCCTATGGATACCTTTTTTTAGCAGGATTTTTTTTTTTTGGTACAGGGGCTCTAACTCAGGACCTTGTGCTTCAACCCAGCCCTGGATATCTGTTTTTAAGTGGACACATTTTCATCTGGAATAGATGCTGCCTAGGAATGGAATCACTGGATCATAAGTACCTTTTTTTTTTTTTGGTACCGGGGATCGAACTCAGGACCTTGTGCTTTTGAGGCAGGTGACAGAACCACTGAGCTAAATCCCCGGCCCATAAGTACCTTGTATTTAAAAACAAAATTCAGGGGGCCGGGGATTTAGCTCAGTGGCACGGTGCCTGCCTTTCAAGTGCAAGGTCCTGAGTTCAATCCCTAGTCCCAGAAAAAAATAAAATAAAAAATAAAAACAATGGCCGAATATTTAGCTCAGTGGTTCCAGCGCCTGCCTCGCAAGCGCAAGGTCCTGAGTTCGATCCCCGGTACCAAAAAAAAAAAAATTCTGCCACCTGCCCCCACACATGTCAGCTGTATCCCGGGAGGAAAATGACCCAGGAGCCTCAGCCCTATCAGATTAAGGCCAGAAGCCCCACGAGGTGGCCCCTTTTAGTGCCCTGACAACTGTTAAATTTATTACTTCCACACTGCCTAGACCCTGCAGTAAGGTCTAGAGCTGAACCTGAGGCTTGGGAAGGTCTCCCGGCCTCAGCCTCCCTCTCCCAGGATGCCCAGCGCCAGGTACCTTGCCTGTAGAGTGCGGCTGCATAGCGGGATGTGTTGCTGGTGGTCTGGGAAGAGCAGAAGGTCTGCTTGTCCATCAGCTTCCTGGGAGCACAAGGAGAACCAAGGTCAAGAGGAAGGAAGCCCCAGAACTGGGGCCTGGTGGGCAAAACCCACTCCAGCCCAGACAAAAATGTAGCAGCCAGGGACCGGGGCCGTGAGGGCGCTTCCATCTACCTCAGGTGGGAGCCAGGGGATGAGAACACCAAAGATGAGTGATGGTGGGAGCACCAGGCCAACTTCCCCTTCCCCGCAGACCAGGTAGAGCCCTGGCAGAAGGAACTACCGGGCGGGGGGGGGGACGGGGGACGGACGGGACAGGTCACACCCTCCAAAGCGAGGGACGCCGAAGGGCCAGTGTCACTGAAGCCTTCTGAAGGCTCCACGTGGCCCAGCGGCACTCGGGCCAGGGCCGGGGACTCACGAGGAGTAGGTGCTGGTCTCATCAGCACAGGCACCGTCCACGTTCAGTGCGATCTGCTCCCCTTTGCTGCGGCAGTAGTTGGGATGCAGGGTGTCGATGGCCATCTCAATCTCTACCTGGAGGCACCAAGCAGCCCACCTGCTGAGGACCCCAAGGCACAGTCTCCAGGACATCCCCAACCCGGTCCCTGCCCAGGAGCGAGACTGACACACGTCCGATCCCGTGGACCCTGGGCTTCGGTCCACGCCGGAGGCCACAAACCCGAATTCTAAAGAAATACCAGAGCAGTTACTTGGGGTGGGGTAGTTGGTGCAGTCACATTTGTCCACCCACTCTGCTCTCAAAGATCTGAATGAGGTGTCAACATTTAAAAATCGGGAGACTTCTCACCAACAGCCTCATCTGCAGCTTAGCGTGAAACTCAGCAGAACTGGCCATCCGGGTCAGCTTTACTGCAGGATCGCAGGGGCGAGCGCTGTGGCCACCCCCGTGGGGGCGCCATGTCCCATCACCCTGTCCCTCCTAGGCTCCAGGTTTTCCTCACCAGCCCTGCCTCTTACTTACCCCTGCCTGCCCTGGGGATCTGAGCTCACACAGGGCCTGGTTCTCCCCTCACCTTGAGCCTCACTCCTCCCCAGAGCTGCCCACTCTCAGGAAACCCCTTCACTCTGCTCCCGAGGCCCCATGAGGAGCTGCTCTCCCCTGGGCTGCTGGTTTGTCCAGCCCTACTTCCATCACAGAGGGCAGCCCCACCTTCTGCTGCTTGGGCTTGATCTTGGCTGAGAGATGCGGAATGTCATCGTAGGTCATTGAGGCTGGACGCACAGGGTACTGGGGAGAAGAAGGGAGCCATCAGCCTGCCCTGCCCACCCAGCCCTGAGTGGAGGTGGGCTTCACGGGTACCAGCCAAGAACATCAACATCCATCCGCAAACCCAAAGCAAACAGAGACCACAGCACCCCGAAGCCCCAACCCACCCGTCCCTGAGGCTCCCCCAGTCTCAGCTGCAGTCTAAGTCATGTTCGCTCTTAGCCTCCCTCCAAAGGGCAGTCCTAGGGTTTGCCTCCGCAATTTCAGGTGATGACTCTGACTTCCCAGGGATGTGGCCCGGCACCAGGAACTCAGCACAGAGCACGGCAGCAGAAGCGGAGCGGAGGGTAAGGGCCTAAGGGGCTGTAGTCAGCACACGGGCCACCAGGTGGGAAACAAGACCAAAAGGAAACAAGAGGAAAGAGCCTGGCAAGGGCTGCTCACTTGCCGGGCAATGGACGCGGGGAGTTCATGGCTCTACTCTTCCTCCTTCCGCATACTGTGAACTTTCCTACAACTCACTGCTGAAGGACGGGGAAGGGCCAGAAACGACCTGTTCCTTACCCTCTGGGGCCCGCCCACCTTTTTCTACAGTTATAGTTTCTATAGTTATAGTTTGGGTCTAGATGTCCCCTCAAAGCCTCATGTGGTCACAGGCAGCTGCATCTAGGCTGTGTGATGCTGGGATTAAGGGTGATCACTAAATCAGTTCCGACTGCCTTGGCACAGCCCTGACCTTGCTGGATACAATATAAGGGACAGGAAGAGGCTTGTCTGCTCCCTTGCTGCTTTTGCTGTCTTCTAAGTGCAATGAACTGTTGTCCCTCTGCCATGTGCCACCCTGCCCCGGAGCCCTCCAATACGGACTGCCACCTCCAAATAAACCTTTCCTCTTTTAACTCTGGGTATTGGGTATTTTGTCTCAGGAACAAGAAAAGCAACTAAGACAGCTATCTCGGACACCATTCCACATGGGCCCTCATGCACACCCCCTGCCCCTGCAGTGGTGTGGGCGGACGACCCATGGCTTGGACCCATCCTCAAAAGCTCCACCCATCACTGCCTGACACGTGACAGCCTCCACAGTGAGCCTAGTGCAGGGAAGCATGGCAGCCATGAGTGTGAGCTCTACCTTTGGGCAGAGTTTCAGACCAGCTGTGTTCCAGCCAAGTGGCCGTTTCCTAAAAGCTCACTTAACACAACACAGTGACTCAACCCTGCTTCCCGCTGGAAGTGGGGGAAGCTCTAGTGGCAGGAACAGCCAAGCCTTTGAGAAGGGCCAGTGCAGGGCCAGGCCTGGCCCCCAACACTCCAGGAGGCCCCTGGTCTGCTGAGGACCAGGGCCAGTCCAAGATCACCTGCCTTCGGGCTCGGGAGGGCGGTGGTGACTGTGCAGGGTCTGGAACAGGCGTGGGCCCCAGCCATAAATCTACATGATACCTGTGTCCTTCCCTCCCAAGGAGCCGTGTTTGTGGATGAGGCAAATACTGCTGACATTAACACAGGGCCTGGCACAAGTGGACACCCGGAGTCACCGCCACGGATACCATCACTCCATAGTCAGTCAAGCAGCACGGGTGTGGAGCACTGCCACTGCCACTGCCACCCTGTCCTAGCCTGGAGGGATCAGGAGCCTCCTTGTGTCTTTTCCTCATGTGCAACATAGGGATGAAAATACTTAAAATAACCACCCTACTAGAAGAGGAAAAAAATGGAAACAAGGTCTTTGCAAATAGGGAAGGGTGGAGGGGGTGAAGGGAGGGCAAGGGAAGGAGAAAAAAAAATAAGAACCAAGAGACTCATGTAATGGTACAAGATCCCAATGATGAATGTAACTGTGTTTTATACCTAAAACGTACCAATAAACTTAATGGGGAAAAAAAAAAATAACCACCCTACTGTCGGGACACTGTAAATGGTGCAAAATAGTCTGGTGGTCCCCAAAAATGAAATGCAATGTTACCATCTGACCCAGCCACTCCACTCCTAGACAGAAGACACCCAACCCAAGAGAAATGAAACCATGTCCACACAGACTTGTACACAGATAGTCATAGGTGCATTACTCAAGGTGGGCAAAAGCGAAAACAACCCGAATGCCCATCAACTGATGAACAGATAAACAAACTGTAACACAGCATACAATAGTGTGTCATTCAGCCAAAAAACTGCAGCACTGACACATGCTTCAACATGGGGCAACTCTATGCGAAGGAGGCCACACATGCATGCACCATTCCCTCTACATGAAAAGTCCAGGATGGGCAAGTCATAGGGACAGAAAGTAAGTTAACGGTGGCCTAGGGCTGACGGAGGGAATGGGGCCTGCAGGGGGACCAGGGATTGACTACTAATACACATGGGGTCTCTTTTAGGGGGACGAAGATGGACTAAAATCCACTGCCCTGTGCACTTGAATGGGGGACGGTATCTCAGTAAAGCTGCTGTAAGAACACTAGAACCACTATAGTAGGTACTGTGAGTCATGAGCTAACTTGAAAAGGAGCTGTGAGCAGTGCCTGCAGTGCCGCTCAACGCATCTTAGCTGCTCTAAGCTCCCGGACCAGCGAGGCGGCACACAGCTGTCAGGACTGAAGCCGGGGACTGCCACAGCGCTGCTCCAGAAGCCTCTCAAGCCTCCCAGCAGCCGGGCCCCTGTCGGAGCCAACTCTACTGCAGGCAATGCCCAAGCACTGTGATGTGGACCCTGCGACACAGGCACTACTGTAGCACCACCCTGCACATGAGGAAACGGAGGCACTGAGAGATTAAAGAACCTGCCTGAGGGCCGGAAGCTAAGAGCTGCCACAGCTGGGTCTCCAAAGGACAGCAACCCCAGCCCCTAGCCTGAGCTTAAGCACACACAGCCCGGCTCTGCTCCGCATGGTGCCTTGTGCGCCCATCTATGAAAACAGACCTTGGCCTGCCCCAGCTGTGAAGGAAACCAGCTCGTCACACTTGGAACCAAGAACACTAAGCAAGGCTGAGGCTCCTGCCTCAGCTCCGCCCCCAGGGCTTTCCCCCTTTACCTTCCAGTCCCGAGATTACCTGGAACAGATAGAGCTTCTCTGCCAGACTTTTGGCCAGGTACACGTCGATCTGCGAACGAGGGGAGACGCTTAACCAAGGCCCCAACACAGCCTGCCCCGGGCATGCACATGCCCTCCAATTCAGAGGCCGCTTGGGGAGGAGGAAATGGCTCAGCTCATGCTGAATCCAAGGGAATCAGGTCCCAGACTGGACACACCGGGTTGCGCTCCCCACAGCTCCCAGGGGACCAGGACAAGAGCTTGCCTGGCCCTTTAACCAAGTTCACTCCAGCCCACTAAGAACACACTCCCCCGGGCTACCAGGTCAGGTGTTCCTGGAGCCAGGTTAAATGCTGAGAGCCAAGCAGGGCAGGGCCTGTCTACGCCTCAGTTTCCTCTCCACGCCTGCCACCTCCCCTGACAGGTGAGCCCGTCGCCCTCTTAGGGTGGTCTGCAAGGCTCTTCAGGACCCATTTCTTTCTTCCTCACTGACCAACCCCACCCCTTGGCCATTTCCTGGCTCTCCTACCCCCCGGGCCTTTGCACATGCACCTCCTTCCACCTGGAATGCCCTTCAGCCTCACTTGTGTGCTTCCTAAGCCTCAAGGATCCACTCATCTTTAAAGACTCAGCTGAATCACCACCTGAACAAAAGCACTCCAGGGCCCTGGCTGCAGAGGGCACTGCCTCTGTCCCTTGGGCTCCCTGGGCTCTCTCAGGACCAACACCAATGGCCCTTTTCTAACTCCTGTTTCAGCAGTGTTGCTGCAGCTTAAAGGCATTTAAATAACTCAAACCCTAACGGCAAGTCAGCAGCATCCCCCAAACCTGGCAGGCTCTTCTGCTCACATCCAGGTGCCTTCTCCCAGCCCCTGCCTTTCACACTAGAGGTGAGGCTCTGTCGAGGGAGGGAGGGAGGGAGGGAGGGAGGGAGGGAGGGAGGCAGGCGAGGCCCAGGCAGAGGCAGTTACCTTTTGCTTTTTGACTTCCAAAGGGCTAAGTGCTGGGCTGAAAGGATTCTGCAGGGCAAGCTTGTCTATAAACAACTCTCTCTTCTTACTGTTTCTTCGGGAAACTGCCTGCACACACTCTGCATCTGCAGATGCCTTTCTCGTCCGTCTTGCCCACACCCACACCCTGCGAGCTTCCCAGGGACAGGGACGCAGCCCTACTCACTGTTCCATCACAGCATACAGTGGGTGAGCTGAGCTGCTGCATGGCTGAATCTGCTAAGCCCAGGAAGGGGAGCTGTCAAACCTACTCATTCATTCAGCAGTCAGTGAGTATCTATTCAGCGCCAGGTACTACAATACTTGGCTTCGCAGAGAGTGGTGAACAGACAAAAAGGCAAATGAACTCAAGTTCAGGGCCGGTCAGGGAAGGCCTTGGTGATAAGGGGGTGCTGGATCGGAGATGGGGGAAGGGAAGGGTCACCTACGCAGGTGTCTGAGGGTTGATGGCACAGGGTTCCGGGCAGAGGGAACAGTATGGACTAGGGGTCCTCAGGACAGCAACAGGTCCCAGACTGGCCTGATGACACGTGGAAGGGACTCAGCCCCTCTCCCTGCAGCCCCGCAGTTACCTCCTGTACGACTGGGTCATCCTCTTCATTGGCCATACTAGGGGAGACAGCCGTGCAGTCCCTGGACTCGATCTGCAAGGGAGAGAGAGACCTGGACCATCAGCCAGTCATTCAACCACAGGTCAGGGAGAACATTCTTCCACAGGCCCAGCACTGAGGAGGAGGAGCCCTTCTTTCTGCATCTATGGTGTGGACAGCCAACTACATACCCCACTGACACACATACCAGGAGGGAGGGAGGAGAGAAAAGGGAGAAAACAAACTAGAAAGCCAGACACAAGCAAACAATGGGTGCAAACAAGTCGCCCTGAGCCAACACAGGTGGGCTGCGCCTCTAGGAAAAAATAAATGTCCATCTGACAGGTCTCTTGGCTGCTCAGCTAGGCCAGAGAAGGGAGGCTGGCTGGTCCACGGCCACCACTAAAACACTCAGGACCTGCCAGCCACAGGGAAGCTTTAAAGAAGAGCCAGGTCAGGGCCGGGGACTTAGCTCAGTGGTTTTGGCGCCTGCCTCATAAGCACAAGGTCCCGTGTTCGATCCCCAGTACCAACAAAAAGAAAAAAAAGGAGGAGCCAGGTGTCAAATGGGAAGACAGGTAGTCCAAAGGCCTTGCGGGGACTCTGCCCTGGTACTTGATTTTCAAGCTGACTTAATCGTAACCCTGAGTGAGGCAACTCCTTCCGTGTTTTTGATCTAAAAATTACTCTTCACACACTCTTCTCCCCCATATTCAATGTAAGCACCCTATGAGCCGGCTTGACTGTCCCCATTGTTCTGATTGTTTACGATCCAGAAATGAAGTCAGAGACCCTTGACGTGTGCTTATTCAAAGTCACACAGCAAGCAAGACAACCCACTAAACTTCAAATCCGGGTCTTAGGACTTAAGGTGACAGCTACGGGCTAGAAGGCTCCATGGAGGGCAGGGCCTCCCTGCTGGGGAAGGGGGCATAAGAGCTAGGCTTGAAGGACAGGAGGAGTTGGACAAGCCAGGACAGCAAGGGGGAAAAGGGATTCCAGCAACAGGCAGCACATCCGCTAGTCCCTGTAAGGAAGGCTGCTGCTCTGCAATCACAGGGCTGACCTTTCACTGACCCAAAGGGCAGGGACAGCCATGGCTAGGTGGGCAGCTGGGCACCCACAGACCGCAGCGGTTCCCACGTGTCTTCATCTACTGACCACTCAAACCACTTAATACTTAAAGGGCCACAAGAGCTCCCCAAAAGATTCCTTGTCAGCCAAGGCCCTCCCCAGACCCTACGAGACGAGACGTAACTCACCGCACCTGTGGGGACCACGCTCTACCTCAGGCTGTCCGGGGCAAAACAAGGGCAGCACCCGCTGCTTCCTTCTCTCATCGCACCCCAGCACACCCCGCCGGCCCTACCTTCGCAGGCTCCGCCTCCCGGCCCAGCCAGCTCCAATCGCAGCCACAGCCTCCTGCGGGTCTCCACGCTCCCACCTTTCCCGCTGCAATCACTGCGTGACCCCACAGCCAGTGAGCCATCAACAACTGGGTCCCATCCTAGCGCCCTGCCAAGGCTCCCCGTACAGCTGAGAGCCAGGCTTCAGGATCCCACGGAGCCTCCCAACCCTCAGACTCACTCCCTGCTGGCCTCCCCCCCAACCCACAATCACCGCAGGGCTCCCTCCTTCACCTCTTCCAGAATTTTCCTTGCTATTCACAATTCCAAACTGCCCCCAACTCCCTTTTCTGCTCTGGTTTTCTCCGCAACAGTTTCTTTTTCTGTTCTGCATCGGTCCCCACTGCCACCAAGCTGCAAGCTCCATGCAGGCAGAGAGGCACTCTCTTTTGCCCCTTGCCGTATCCCCAGGGCCTAGAGCACAGCGGGAACTCAATGTCTACTTGTCTGAACTCATGCATACGTAACAGGAGCTGTGTAAGGGTTCTGAGCACAGGAAGATCAGGAGCAAGTGGAAAGCAAGACTGGAGGGAAAGTGATGGAGACTGGGTGAGAATCAGAACCATCAAATGGACAGTTTTAGGTGCCTGCTGGGGTGGGGGGGCTAAAGGCACGGGCTGCCGAATTTCACAGACATAACGTCAAGCACCGACCCTCTCTGCAGCTGGTTCCCTATCAACTGATGGTGGACTTCGAGCAGAGCAGGAGCACAGAGCACACTCCTGAGACACAGGGATCCTTACAAGGCTATTTTGCCCTGGGCCTCGGCCAGCCCTGTCTACCCTGGGATCTGGGTGATCCTCTCTGAGTTCTCTCAGCTGGAGGGCTGGAGCTCTTCCTCCGGATCCCACATCTGATTGGACTACTGCAAAGGCTGCCACCTCCCTTCCGCCTCTCAGACAACAAGATTCAACTCAGTGGCTTTCAAAGTTTCTCCTAAGACCCACCGGAAGAAACGCATGAATGACCCAGAACACACACACAGTTATGTAATGGAAACAAGGTTTGCCGTACATACCCATTATTGTCCATGATACATGTGAGGCAATGATGTTTTCTAGCCTCGTACATTCCAAATAAAAATGCTAACTTGGTGCCTGCCTGTAATTGAAGCACTCTGGGAGGCTAAGGAAGGGGAATCACAAGATCGGATTTAGCAACTTAGATCCTGCCTTAAAAAAAGAAATTAAAAAAGGGTCAAGGATGTCGCTCAGTGCCAAGGCCCTGGGTTCGATCCCTTGTAGTAGAGGGGGGGGAAAATGCTGGTGACAATTTCGCTAGGTTAATTTACGTCCCACTAATAAATCTTGACCTGCAACTTTGAAAAGCAATGATCCAACAAGCTTTCCTAGGGCCCCTCTTTCCCACCTTCAATTCTCCCAGCAGCTGCCAGTCTTTGTAATAAAGCAAACCACCATTCCTGTGCTCAAAACCTTTCAGCTGTCACATAAAATCCCAACTCCTTTCCACGGCTCCCTCAAGGCACCAGAGGCTCCTTGCATCCTCCTAACCACCTCCCCCTGACAAGAGTGGCCACTTGCGGGGCCCTCCACCAAGCCACGCCTCAGCCCACCTCAGGACCTCCGCTCATCAGCTATTTCCCTCAGAGCTTCCCAGGACTGGCTTTTTTGGTTTATTTTTTGAGGCAGGGTCACTATGTAGTTCAGGCTGGCGGTCCTCCTGTCTCAGCCTCCCAAGTACTATTACTGGCTCTTTTTTCATTAGATATAACCGCCACCCTCCCCTCAGGACTGACAGGTTCCCCCGCACACAACCCCCTATTTTAAAGAGCCTTCTCCAAACTCCTTCCAACCACTACCACAACTCCTTGCTTTCTTTAGTAGTTGTATGACAACCTGGAACTTCCTGCCCCATTTGCTCACGGGCTGTCTTCTGCACCAGAAAGTAAACTCCATGAAGGACTCTCAATGCTTCAGTTCCCTCACAAAATGGAGATAATACTTCGGGTTGTCATGCGGATCATTACTTTCTTTAAAAAAAAAAAATCACTGCTGTTTTCACAATACCTAAACAAAGCCTAGCACAAGCAGACACCCGATATAATAACAATAAACAATTTACATTTAATCTTTGCTTTAGCCCTAGAAGTCGAGACGTAGCACCCCTAATACAGAAAGGAGGGAAGAGGTTCCGAGAGTAACCAACTTGCCCAAGATCACAGTGCCTGAGAACAGTATAACCAAAACAGAAACCCAGGTCTGGCTGATGTCAAAGATGCCTGTTCTTGTTCTTAACCACTATGCCGCACATCTCTCCAGCAATAGGCAGTATGGTACAGTGGCTAAGAAGCTGGCCTCTGAAACGACACTGCGCAGGTTCAAATCCAACCTCCACTACTCAGTTGGCCTCACGTGAATTGGCTCAGCTGGGTATCCTTTCGTATTTTCATCCCCCAAACAGGGATAACAAAGTACGGACCGCCCGCAGCGATCATCAAATAAAGCAATAAATGCAACCGGCGGGACGGTTTGTTATTACGTGGCAAACATATTTTCTTCCGATACAGAGGCTAAGACTCAGCCACGAATGAAGCCCTGTAAACGAAGCCTCGCCGGTCTGACCGCCCTCTAACGTAGGAGTCCCCATTACCCCCGTTTCACAGATGACAGGAGATTGCTAAGGTCTCCTCTTCAGCCCAGGCCCAGCGAGTCTGACTGACGTACTGGAGCGACCTTGCCTACTCCCTGACACCGCCTCTCAACGAGGGGCGAGACCGTCCGCGCAGCCCCGAGCTGTCTCCCAGCAAGCAGCGATTGGCCGCCCGATTGGCTGACCGAGGCGTCCAGGCCTCCCGGGCAGCGGCTGACCGGGTTCAGCTGCGAGCAGAGGCCCGGCGGGCGCAGGTACCTCCCTCCCCCTGCCCTTCGGGGCGGCAGCGCCGTCCAACGGGCGTCGCTGCTCCGCGGCGGTCAGGTCGCCGTCCCCCGCCCACCCCGAGCCGCCACGCCGGCCGACACCGGCCGCCCTCGGACAGGTGTTCCACGGGAGAGGGCCCGGGCGGGGCAGGGCGATAGGACCCTGAGTCACCGCCGGAAGCCTCGGCAGCGGCCTCCTCGGCTCCCCGGCCGGCCGGGTCCGCTGCGCCCGCCTGCCCGCCGCCCTCCCCTTCCCCGGAGCCCCTAGCCCCTCGGCGCGGCGAAGGCCTAAGACGGAGCGCAGTGCGGCCCCACCTCGCGAGAGCGGCGGCTCAAGCCCGACCCCGGCGCTGCGAACGAGGACTCACCCCGCCGCCAAGGCCGCACGCGGGCGGCGCCAGAGGCGCAGATACCCGAGCTCTGCAGCAGCGACGGCAGCCCGGCTGAGGGTTCAGGCGGCCGCCATGTTGCCAGTGAGAAACTCCGGCGGACACGTGGGGGGAGCGGGCCGGCCCTCGCGCTTCCTCTTACCCACAATGCCCCGCCCCGGCGTGCGCGGGCCCGCCCCCTCCTTCCACCCAGCCATTCAGGACGCGAGCCCGAGACGGACCGCAGAGGGCGCCGGTGCGGCCGCAAAACGGAGCCGGCTACAAACGGAGGAGAAACAAAAGTTCGACCTTGGCAGCGGTGGGATTCGAACCCACGCCCCCGAAGAGACTGGAGCCTTAATCCAGCGCCTTAGACCGCTCGGCCACGCTACCTATGTGTTAAAACTGTTTTCTAAGGGCTCCTTTAATGTCTTTTTACAGATTTAATTTCTCCAAATTATATCATCGGAGATACTTCGCTAAGTGCCTCACCAGATTCCAATAGAGATATTTATAATACGCCATATATTTGAAACAAAATATTTGCTTCAATAATTGCATTCAAGATTGTTGGCAATAGGTTTTAGAACAAAAAAGAGATTCTTAAAAGAATCTGTATTCTGAATCAGAGGGTTACCGCGAAGATCCTCTTGGTTAACCTACAGTGCCAACAAGACCCGAATTAGTTGTCTCAGGAGTAAAGATTGATCCTGGAAGTAACCCGTACCAGGAGCTCTGACGGTCAAACTGAGGGAGCTGGCCCGGGCACTTCTCTCCGAAAAATAATGAATTTAAATTGCTGATTGCATTAAAAAAATTTTAAAAATTGTTGGTGGCGTAAATAATGTTAAAACTTTGCAGATAAGTTACAAATGTTCTTTGAGCTTTGACTCCCAACCTAATTTCCTTCGCAAAAGACCTCTTGGTGTGAATTTACGTGCATATATATCCCCATACAAAATAGTTTTGTTTTTCATCATGTATGAGTTGTTAACATAAATATTATACTATTAGTATATATCTAAAATTGGCAGTTTTTTTCGCCAATGTTTTAAATAATATTTTAAAATATCTAGCCCTAGGGGCTGGGGATTTAGCTCAATGGTTCCACTGCCTGCCTTGCAAGCACAAGGTCCCAAGTTTGATCCCAGTACCAAAAAAAAAAAAAAATGCCCCTATATGAGTTTACTACAGCTGTTACATCAAATTACCACAAACTTAGTAACTTAAAGCAATAAAAATTTTATATATATATATATATATATAGCCCTGTTGATATGGATATGGATATTTTAAAAGACTGGGAAAAATACAATGAAAAAATAGTCATCTATATTCCCATGACCTGGAAAGAAATTAATTACTGTTAATATTGTGGCATTTTTGTTTCCAATTCTTTTTCCTATGTATATACTTATTAAATTACAGGAGTAATGATAGGAACATGTTGTCCTTTTAAAAATCATTTTAAAATATATTAGACTGTTAGGACTTTCCAAATAAAGTTGTCTAAACATCCTCCCTTACATATAACTAATGTGAATTTGATGTGTAACTTTCCAATAATCTTTTATACTTTTACATGTGTGTATTCATGAACACTACACACTATGATTTTCTGTTTTACATTGTATCAATATCTTTCTAAAATTAGGGTGCTTTGCCTATTAAAAAAATTTATTTTTCACTCCAACTTTTTTTAGGTTTATTATGATAATTCATTCCATGGTGTGAACAATATTGTTTCCTGAATTTCTGTCAGGACATACAATATGGCAGACAATATCTGCACATGGCTCTTTGTGTATGTGTCTGTGTCTAGTCTGGTAGGATACCAGAATTAGAATTGCTGCATCATATGTATATTTTCCATTTTACATATTGCCAAAGTATATGATCTTTAGTGACTGTTTCTCTTTTTTTCAGGTTTTTTACTTCTTCCTGAGTCCATTTTAGGATGATATTCTGGGAAATAAACCACTTCACTTGACTTTTCACATTTATTGTTGTAAGAAATCTCAAATCTCCCTCATCTCTGCAGTAATGTCCTTCCACATTAGTTCAGCACAGCGCAGTGAGCAAGTCACTCACTGGCAGAATCAGGCAGTAATCCAAACCCTGCTGATGCTTTGGACACGTTCCTGGCAACCCATACAAATCACGCTCTTTGAAGTAGAGTTCTGGTTTTGTACTGATTTTTATTACACTCTTCAGTGCCATGGTTCCAGTTTCCAGTTAATATCCAGTGATACATCTCCTAACATTTGGGCATTCCATATTTCTCCTTCCTTCAATCCTTCCTTAGTCTATTTTTAAAAATTAATTTTATTGGTATATTTTAGGTATATAATATGACATTCATCAATGAAGATTTGTGCCTTTACATAATCTCTCTTGGTTCTTATTTTTTCCCCATTCCCCTGCCCTCCCTTCAACCCCTCCACCCCTCCCTATTTACAAAGACTTTGTTTCCATTTTTTCCTTTTCTCATATTAATTCCATTCCCCTTTCCTTAATCTATTTATTTTGTTTTGTTTTCTTCATCCACCTTCAACATATTTGCAAAGATTTTATTGTTCTGGGAAAGTTTGTTGGGCTTTTGTTTGCTTGGTTTGGTTTTTTGAGACAGGGTCTCGCTATGTAGTACAGGCTGACCTCGAACTTGATTCTCCTGCCTCAGTCTCCCCTGTGCTGGGATTATAGGCGTGCACCACCATACCCAGCCCAGTTTGTTGGTTTTAAAGGAATTTTGTAAAATACAGGAGCAATCCGGGAGTGGTGGCGCACGCCTGTGATCCCAGCACAGGGGAGCCTAAGGCAGGAGGATCGCCAGGAGTTGGAGGCCAGCCTGAGCCACATAATGAGTTCAAGGCCAGCCTGTACTATAGAGTGAGACTGTCTCAAAAGAAAACAAAAAAGGAGCAACCATCTACTGAAGACATGGCTAGAAAATGTCTCTAGCAAATAGAGGTCAGAAGAGTGGGTTGGTGTAGAGAGGTACTGCCTGGGAGGGGGCCCAAGAGAGCTTTCTGTGGTCTACAGATATTCTATATGTTGAATGGGGTAGTTGCACTAACATGTCTACATATGTAAAAATCCATTAAACTGTACATGTACTTGAGATTATGCAAGTTACTCTACGGAGGTACCTGTATAATTAAAAGTAAATTTTTTTAGTGTCCCTACCAGGTTCAAATCTTGGAACTAACCTCCCAGTGGGTTTTCACTTGCAACAAGACCATGCGCGATAAAATATTGACATGTGCTTGCACTTAAACCACCTGAAACGCTTTCTTATCCCTTCCCTGTAAACCTTGGGGCTCTCCTTTCCCTCCTCAAATGGAATCATCTTTCCAGGTAGAAATCTGTTGTTTTTGCCTTCCTGGCATCCTCTCTCCCATTTTCTGGTTGAATATCCCTTACCCAAAATGCCAGGGACCTGAAGCATTTCAGAGTTTGAATTTTAGAGTATTTACATATACATAATGGGACATCTGGGGGATGGGACCCAAGTCCAAACATAGAATTCACCTATGTTCCACATACTGCATACCTTATATTCATTGCCTGAATATAATTTTATACAATATTTTAATTTACGCATGAAAAATATTTCCACGTTGGTACTCAAAGCTTTTCCCCTTCGCATACTCCCTACTGGTCCAAGAGTAGTTGTCTCCCATCTCTCTCTCTTCCCCCTTTCCCTCACCTTCAAATAAATTTTATTTTTTTGGTACCAGGGATCGAACTCGGGACCTTGCACTTATGAGGCAGGAAGCAGAATCACTGAGCTAAATCCCTGGCTAAATTTTTTCTTTTAAACTTTGCTCTTTCATGTCTACCGACGCTGGGGTTAGGACTGCCGGGAGCCACATGTTCCAGCAGAGCAGTGGTCTGGCGTGGCGTGGCGTGGCGTGGCCTGGCGTACACCCTTCCCCAGACGTAGCACATCCACTCTCCAGCATGCCAAACTGTATTGGTATTGATTCCTCTTTCTCATCTTTGTGTGTTTACCCCATTATAAAATTCCCCTCCTGTCACTATTGGGGATTTAGAAGCAATTAGACCTAAATGTATGTGTGTCCAATCTACCATGCATAATTTTGCTAATGCTCAACTTTCTTTTTTTTTTTTTTTTTGAGTTGGGGTCTTGCTGTGTAGTTCAGGCTGATCTTGAATTCACTATGTAGCCCAGGCTGGCTTCAATCTCACGGTGCTCTTCCTGCCTCAACCTCCCAAGTGCTGAGATTACAGACATCTGCCACTGTGCCTGGCTTCAGATTTCTAAAAATTAGAAAGCTATTAGCTTGAGCCTGGCATGATGGTGCACACCTGTAACCCCTGCACTCAGGAGGCTGAGGCAGGAGGATGGCAGCAAGTTTAAGGCCATCTTGGGCTACATAGTGAGTTCAAGGCCAGCCTGAACTACCTAGAAAGACCCTGTTCCATCCCCCCAAAATAGATACCTCATACAAAGGATGTCAGTGCACAAACTACTGAGTCTATCCCCATATGAATATGGGTTGGGGGTGGGGCTCAAGGGTAGAGCACTTGCCTAGCAGGGAACCCTGGGTTCAACTGCCACCAATGCAAGAAACTAAAGGATCACATCAACAACTAAGGTTTTTCTGAAGCTTGGCCCTGTCTCAGAAATAAACAAAGAGCTGGTGGTGTAGCTAAGTCTAAGGACCCCAGGTTGAATCCCTACTCGGCCCCAAAAGCACTCAAACATATTTTATCTTCCCTGAGGCTAATAACAATCTCGTAGTGGCAAAGATTATTCTGTTTCACAGGTGAGCAAATCAAGAAATGAGAGGCTTATATATTATATTTTATCCAAAGCAAACTGACAGCACAAGGGCCAAATCTGAAAGGCTTTATTAGAATTTATTACAAATGTTAAAAATCAGGATATCATATGTAAAAATTAAAAAAAAATTTTTTTAAAGCAGCTCTTAAACTACAAATGGGTCTCTACTTTGGGCCCACACTTCCGGTGAAGGTGAATCACAGCCGCCCCTTTCTGAGGGAGTATGACCATCCAGTTTACTGTATTCAGCCTCTAGGAGGCATTTGAATTTGAGATAGGAAAGAAAGAAACCATTTTATTTGGGAAGATAAAGTGGAATTTAGTACATATACAAAAATAAATCTGTAACTCGTCACTTTTCTGGGTCCCACTCAGGGCCCCCTTGAGGAGATGAAATGTTTACCTCAGAGACCAGAAACACAAGAGATACAAATCCACACAGAGAACATGCATATTGTCATCTTGTTTCCTTCTCTGCCTCCTCAGACTTGCGTAAACAATGTTGACTGTAAAACATGTCAGTCCACAGGCAAAGCTGCTGGGACAGAAGGAAATGAAATCATTAAAACAAGAGCACTGGAAGATAAACTTCCACAACGCCTCGGGTGAGAAGGAGGGGGATATTCTGAAGCACTGGAATCTAGGAGTTCTTTCCTTCTTTCTTATAGCCAGAAAGCCCACCCACATTTATTTTTTACAGTTCTGGGGTTGAACACAGGGCCTCAGGCATGCTAGGCAAGTGCTCTACCAGCTACATCCCCAGCTCTAGTTAATTTTTCTTTTACATGTAGTAAAGTCCAGTTTCATTTTAAATGTCATCCCCAGGATCCTCCAGCAGTATTTACCTGAGAGGATCTACTGAGAGCCTGGTGTCTCCATCTGAGAAACAAGGCACCAGATAATCCTGGCTCTGCTCATCTGGACTTGTTGACATGCTTCTGGAGCTTGAAGATAGTCACTGATGTCTTCCTAATTGGGCTGCAATGTCCTGGGTTTGCTTTATTTTTTTTTTTTGCCATGCCTACTCTTGTGGAAAAAGATGTCCTGACCTGCTTTAGAAGGCACTGAACTAATTTTTGAAGGTTGTGTCAGCGCTTCTGCTGGAGCAGAAGGATCTCAACATCTTGCATGATTCTTTTTTGCTCTCAGGAGTCCTTATAGAAATACTTGCTGCCTAGAGCCATGGTGCGCACCTGTAATCCTGGCTACTCAGGAGGCTGAGGCAGTGAGACCCCAAGTTGAAGCCCAGCCCAGGCAATTTAACAAGATCCTGTCTCAAAAAGGACTGGGGACCTAGCTCAGTGGGGAGAGTGTTTGCCTAGTCTGTGTGAGGCCCTGGGTTCCATCCCCAGCACTGCGAGAGGAAGCCACATCTGTGTGGCTGTGTCCAGGTCGTCCCAGCCTTCGGAGGAGAAAGAGACCATCTCCTGACAGCAAGGCCACGTGTGTGGGCAGGAATGGAAGTGCAGGCGTGACATCTCAGGCAATCCAGACAACCAAGTATTGATTGGAGGAAGCAGAGCCTCAAAAAGAGTGCAGTGATTACAGCCGGCTCCGTTTGTTCACACATTCATGCAGTACCAACTCGGCTGGGGCACTGTGTTTTTAAACAAAGTTGGGACAGCCCCTGCCTTCAGGACTTTAAAAAGTAGCTCTTGGCTAAGGGTGAGAGCAAGGGTTGACAAACTATGGCCCAAGAGGGCCACTACTTTTTGTCAATAAAGTTTTATTGGAACACTAGCCACATTCACGCAGCTATGCCAATTTGCACTTCAACAGGGTTGAGTAGTTCCAACAGAGGCCGGGTGGCTGGTAAAGCCCAAAGTCTTTACTGTCTGGCTCTTTACCAAAAAGTCTGCCAATTCCTGCTAGAGAAGAGACGACATGCAACTGAGAAATTAGACAGGTAGTAGTCAGAAAACATAATTATTTGCATATTAAAATTGCAGAGAGAAGAAGTTGGCTAAAACAAGAAGAAAGCATGAATCAGGATGCTTGATTACTCTGAAGAGATACCTCTCAGTAAAGCTGCTTCCAACACTTATCACGTGTAGTTTAACTATATGCACTGGCTCAAAGCACACAGAGCTCACCACAAGCCAGCTGGTACGCATGAAAAGAGTGAGTAGTGTGGACTTCTAAAAGAAGACTGGCTGTGAAGCATTCGCACACAGGAACTGGGAATACTGTCATTTCTGGGTGGACTGGGGCACTTTTCAAGGGTAATTTTGACTTTACTTGTTTTTTCCTTGGAGGGTGCGCTACTCCAGACTTCGAGATCCAAGGCTTGAACAAGTTCCTGACTCTGCATAGCTCAACACTAAGGCGCTCGGGGCCCTGTGTTTTTGCGGGGCTTTTTGGTACCAGGGATGGAACCAGGGACCTTGCACTTTCGAGACAGGCGGCGGAACCACTGAGCTAAATATCCCTGGCCCTCAGGGTCCTGTTTTCATGAACAGGTAAGAATGGCTCATGTATTACACTCTGCTCTTTTGGGTTTGATTCTTAAAGAAAGTCGCTGCTCTAGCATTTGTGGTTGATCAAAACAGTCTGGTTTCTTGGCTACTTGAAATAACTGAAATCATATTAATATTACATCTGAACTCCTTTTAAAAAAAAGAAAGGTCGTTAAATAAAGATACCCATAGCCTGGCCCTGGGGAAATGACTGGAATTAATGAGTGTTTACAGTTCTTGCCCTCTCGTTCTCAAACATCTTCAATAAATCTCAAGGGGCTGCTGCTGAAAGCAGACTGCCACAAATGACAAGAAAAGCAGCACAGCTTCAAGCAGAAAATGTCAAGGACGAGGGCTGGGAGCGGATTCTGCAGGGCATCTTCACAGAGCCAGGGCTACTGGACAAGGGCACCTCAGTCCCCTCGAAGATGCAGCCACCGAGGTACGGCATAACGTCTGCCTGGAGGACATGCAAGGAAAAGCTTGAAGCCGCACCCTCCTCCACAGAGCTGACACAGGAGCTAGAGGTAGTGAATGTGTGCATACAAAAATCAAACCTCTTGTATAAAGCCCACAGTAAAAAGCATGCTTTAAAAAGTGGAATTAGGCTGTATGCCAGAAAATCAGTTCTGTGGTGGGAAGAAATTAAACTAAAAAGTGAGACAATGCCAAGTTACGTGTAGGCCCTTTCCAAGTGTAGAAAGAAGAGAGCCTAGGTGTTGAACAATCTCACATCCACTGATAAATGCTGTGCATGCTTCCAAATGCTTGGAGAAAGAAGGCTTTGTACTAAGGACAAAACACATCCCATGGAAAGCAAAAGTGCAATTCCACGTTTCCCATAAAACCTAGGGCTCCCAGGACCTAAAATTTGAGTCCAGCCTGAAAAGCTGGTGATCAAAGCCCCAATAATCTTCATCCAAGACCAAAAAGCACCCGCTTACATCTTACGACAAGAAAATCAGTCCAGGGATTTAGCTCAGTGGTGCCACCACCTGCCTCATAAGCTCAAGGTCCCGAGTTCGATCTCTGGTACCAAAAATAAAAGAAAATCAAAACAGAACCTTAAAACAATACGTCGGTTTGTTAGGCTGCATTTTCAAACCCCACTCCCCCAAAATACTGTCTTAGGCGACAGCTGTAGTGTCTCTGCTGGTAGCAAAGACTTTTTCAAGAGTCAAAAAGTGAAATACAAAATACAATTTACAGCACCACAAAAATACTTTCCCCCTCCCAAATAAAACGAGTCTTGAGTCCTTTCTAGCCCTTTGCTTCGGGCCAGCTGGCAGTCATTTTCCTGGTGCATTATTCCTCCATCTCGGCCCAGGCCTCCTCTGCCTTCTCATAGTACTGGTTGGCCAGTCGGCCCTTCATGGCTTCCATCGCTGCCTCCGCCGCCTGGGTGTACAAGTCGCCTGCACGAGAGCAGAGTGGGCCACAGAGATGTAAACACCCTTGGTCTTTGCCAGCCCTGCCTCCCCCACCTCTCCCAGGAGAGCACCCTGGCATTCCTGTAGCAACCCAAACCACTCCTGTGCCCTCTCCTTCCAGGTAATAGGGGTGGGTAATCTGAAGATCAAGGGGAGGGCATGTAATCTGGCCAATTAGAGCACTCTTCCATTCCCCTCCATGTGGATTGGTTCACACTTAGGCATGGCCAATCAGAGTAAGCCATCTCAGGGTCCACAGTGATTGGTTCAGGGATGAGTAGTGATTCTATTTGAGCCAATGAGAACCAGGATGAGGACTTTTCCAGAAGAAACTGAGAATGTATGAAAATGGAATAAATACTCTTAAGCCTGGACATTTGGATACAACCCCCTTTGGGCTTCTCACTCACAAATGTGTACGCTGAATCCATAATGTGACTGGAGGTAGGGGCTCAGAGGCCATGACAAAGGTTATGTGAGATCGTAGGGGTGGGGCCCTAATGGAAAAGAGTGGAGCCCTTGAAGGAGAAAGAGAGGAGGGCTTGTTCTCTACTTGGATAGAGAAAAAAGGCCATGTGGGGACACAGTCCTTGCTAGAAACAGCACTGGCCAGTACCTTGGACATCCTACCTTCTAGAATGCTGAGAAATAAATTTTGGGAGCTGGGGCTGTAGCTCAGTGGCAGAGCACTTATGGCTAGCATGTATGAGATCTTGGGTTTAAAACAAAAATTTAGCTGGGTGTGGTGATACATTCCTGTAATCCCAGTACTTGGGAGGCAGAGGCTGGGGCACAAAGCCAGCCTGAGCTACCTAGTGAGACTCTCTGCCTCAAAAAGACACAAAAAATAAAAACAAGTGTTTGTTGCCTAAGCATTGAATCAGTTAGGCTATAGGGCAGTTCAAGCAGATTAATACATTGATGTAGCAGAAAAAAAATACATGTAACTTATGCATCAACTGATAAATAAAATGTGGTAAATACATTAAAGGAATATTATTTGGCACCAAAAAGGAATGAAGAACTTATAACACAGAGGAATCTTGAAAACATTCTAAGCGAAAGAAGCCAAACACAGAAGTCCACATGCTGTATGATTCCATTTATGTAGTAAGTCCCAAACAGATAAATCCATAGAGACAGAAAGCAGATCAGCGATTACAAGGAATGGGAGGAGAGCAGGAGGGATTTCTAATTAACACCGGGTTTCTTTTTAGGGTGACAGGAATGTTCTGGAAATACGCACTCGTGATGGTTGTGCAACACCATGAAAATACTACGGTCCACTAAACTGTACACTTTAAGATGTTAGGACCAGGGATTTAGCTTAGGGGTTCGGCGCCTGCTCGAAAGCACAAGGTCCTGAGTTCAATCCCCGGTAACCGCCCCCCCCCCCCACACAAAAAGTGTTAAATTTTATGTTAAGAAAACTTCAGCTCAATTTTTAAAATTGCAAAGAACTGCCCCCAAACACAAATACACAGTGTCCTTGGTGCCCATGGGGGGTTAGTTTCAGGATCCACTGCGGATGCCAAAACAAAATGGCAGAGAACTTGCAAATAACCTATGTATCTCTAAGGGCACACTTTAAATCATCTCTACACTGCATCACATTACTTACAATATTTAATACAACACATACGCTACGCCAATGGTTGTCTTATTGCATTGTTTAGGGAATAATGACCAGAACACTCTGTGCCTGTTTGAAAATAGTTTCTAAGTTGGCTGTGCAGGCACACACCTGTGATCCCGGCACTCTGGCTGAGCCTGAGGACTGCATGTTCAAGCCCAGCCTGGACGATGTGGTGACTTAGCAAGACTCTGTCTCAAAATTTAATTAGTTAATTAATTAATAGAGAGGGCTGGGAATTTAGCTCAGTGGTTTCATGCCTGCCTGGCAAGCACAAGGTCCTGAGTTCGATCCCTGGTACCAAAAAGAAAACAGTACTGGGGATGGAGCGAAGGTGAAGGCCCTGGGTTCAATCCCCAGCACTGCAAAAAAATGTATCTGTGTACCAGTTGCATAAACCCCTCTGGGGGATCAGCCCCACCTGCTCTCTGCGGGTCCTTCTCCAGGCCGCAGCCGCCCACAAGCAGCATCTCGGCCTCCCGGGCCAGCAGCGCGTACCGGGGCTCGTCCTGCATCCCGTCGAACTCACCGCCCTCGTCACAGTCTGTGGTCTCCAGCGCAGTGTTGTACCAGTGCAGGGCCTGCACCCAGTCGAGGCACCTTGCCAGGAGAAAGAGGAAAAGGGCTATTACCTGGGGACAGGGTGGTCGCAGAGGGGCATCCAGCAGGAGGCCAGCCAACGACCCCGGCGGGGCCACCACCTCTGACTCATCACCTCTAGTACCCGAGACTGCTATATCCAAGAGACACCTTCATACAAAAGGGACTGCACACACGCACCCTGTGGGCTGGCACCAGCAGTGGCTAGATGTCCTCGCCAAGCTGCCCTGTGACGCAGGTAGAAGAGGTGGGCAGAAAACCCTTCGCAGAGGCCTCCGGAACTACCTGAGCTAACAGCAATCCGCAGGCCCTCTCTGCTCTGCTGGGTGGCCCGCTCCAGCTCTCTCCCAGCTCCATGTGCATCTCACCCCTCTGTCGCTCAGCCCCTCAACCTCTAGCTCCTCCTTCGGCAGCCGCATGTGGCCACTGTCAAGGGCATTACAGGTTCCAGCCAAACTCACACAATGTAACACAGCTAACTGCACCTTGGGCTGGTTCTCTTTGGGTGTAACCCATGGGAGTAAGTACTTAGCGCACGTCAGGAAAGAGCAAAGAGAGAGGCACAGCTAAGGGTGGCCACAGGGGTCCTGAAACGTGCCAGGGGCAGCAGCTCTGCTGACTTGCTGTCCTCCCCTCATGGGCTCAGACTCCATGGCCGTCCACACCAGCCCTGCTGGCCCCGGCCTTGGGACACTCTTCTCCTAACCCTCCCACCCCGGCTCCTCATCCCTCCAGTCTCAGGTCATATGCCACCTCTGAGGAGATGCTGTCCCCAGACACCTCGTTTCTTACAACAGTTACTGTAACCTTTAATTCTCCTTGTTCCCCTGTTTATTACGGTCTCCTCTGACAAGAGCATAAGGCCAAAGAAGACGAGACCATTGCCTGTTGTGTTTACTGCTGCAGTCCCAAGGCCTGGCCCAGAGCACAGGCTCAATAACCATTTATTGAATGGATAAATATGAACAAGTGGCTGGGGGGATGGTATTGAGGAGCTAACCTTGACTCCATGTTATCTTATTAAACGTGGAAATCATTTGAAAATTATTGGCAAGGTACCCCCAAAACTATGGTTGTAACATTGGACTAGAAGCCACCAGAATGGATGACTTCACTCCGTTCAGCTCTGACCCTCAGTCCTAAAGGACCAAGCAGAATTTCCCTGAAAACAGGGCCTAATCTTTCCCTGCCCCATTATCTCAGTGGTTAGGATGCCCACCCTGCCTTGGGATTTTCCTATTGGAACTTCTGAGAGGACCAAAACCTCTTAAATACAAATTTGGGCCCTTATCCATAGCTAGACCTTAATTAACGCTCCCTGAAAGGAAGAGGCTGGAGCTGCTTAGAATGAGGAGGAAGAATAAGAAAATGACTAGAGCAGAAGCTATAAGATAAAATTTTGATAGATTTAGTTAAATAAATATTAAAAACCAGTGTGGCAGCCAGGCATGGTGGTGTACACCTGTATAATCCCAGTACTAGGGAGGCTGAGGCAGGAGGATCACCATGAGTTCAAGGCCAGCCTGAACTACATAGCAAGACTCTGTCTCAAAAAAACAAACAACAACAAAAACAAAACACAAAAAGTGTCCCCAAACCTATTAAACAGTGGTCATTATGTGACATCTGTGACCCCCTGCATGGTAGCCATCTCTGATAATTCTTTTAAAGAGAAATACATACCAAGGGTTATACCCTTAATATATAAAGAGTTCTAAGAAGTCAGTAAGAAACCACCACCGTAAATAAAATTAAAAGTAGAACTAAACGTAAATGTAAAAGAACAGACATAAAAAGTAGAGAAAAGACAGGAATAGGAAGCACAGATAGCAAAGACTTTTTAGGGATCTTAGGTGTAAATATTCAGGGCTGGCTTCTCCAATGCACTCAATGGGCAGCACATACACTGGCATTTGATCTGATACAATCTCATCGGTTCTTTCTGGTCTATCTTCCCTCCACGCCACTGTAGTTCTAAGTCTGCTAGGAAGCAGGTGAATCGGGAGCACACTGAGAGAGATATGAAAGACCTAACTGTGGCTCTGCCACTTACTAGTACAGGCTATGCATCCCTAAACACCCCAAGTCCAAAAGGCTCCAAAATCTGAGTACTAAGGTGAGCCATAGTACAAAATTCCACACCCGATTTAGGCTGAAGACACACTGTAGATGCACAAAAAATACCACATAAAATTGCCTTCACGCTATGTGTCTAAGGTGTGCATGAAACATAATTGAATTTCGCACTTAGATCTGGAGTCCATCCCCAAGATATCTCATTTGTAAATGCAAAAATTCTAAAATCTGAAAAAACTGAAATCAGAAACTTCCAGTCTGAACTAGAGTTTAGCTGCCCATCACATGGGCCCCAAGTAGCTGCCTGTCTGTACCACGGAGATGTTTTGTTAATTCAGTCACTGAGCCTGGTCCTGTGCAGAGCACTGGGACACAAAAAGGCAGGCAACCTGGTGCCTGTTCTCAGTGACGACAAGGCACACTCTGAAAGTGTTATCCAAGGACAGGAAGCTAGCGTCTGATGCGTGTTGGGACCATGGGATAGGCGTGATGTCACAAATCCAGGTTTACCCCGAAAGCCTGACAGGATAGAACTACAGACCTAACCTTCCTTCAAGACTCGGGGAGGGAGATGAGCTCTTGATGCCAAAGAGGAGGAGCACTTTCTAACCTGGGGTCTTATACAGTGCACCGCCCTCCTGTTTCCCTTCTGGAAGTCAGGCTCCAACGGGAGCTGCAGAGGGCGAGCAACAGGTCCATTATGAGTTCAGTCCCCAATCAACCTCTGCCCACAGACTTCTAAAATCTCTTACTGGCCAAGCCAAGGAGCCGGAGTGAAGCCGGGCCACCCTCTCCTCCTCCCACCGCAGGCACCAGCCCTGACTTCTCAGCCTGGTGGGTAAATGAAAAGTATGGACACTTCAGGAGTCTCAAAACCACTGTGGAAGACTCACCCTGAGCTTGCCTGCTTCCGTCCCCCCGTCTTAAATGTAAGAAATGACGCAAATAAAACAAAAGTAGGAAAAGTCAGTATCACCTACACTCCTACAACCAAGGAGCCCTACTCTGAACCTGATGCTGTATAACCTTTCAGATTTTTTCCTCAGGCAAATTTTTTTTTTTTGAAGTATAAAAAGTTTTATTAGTGCACATATACAAAATTTACAAGGTTAGAAACTGGAAAAATAAACACAGCTTTAAAACAAAATTTGCTTTTTCTTCAGTTTAAAGTGACTTTAGCTGATTGTGATACAGCAGAAAGTACAACAGCAAGCTGCCTTTTAATACTGGAATTTTATGGAGACCACATTCACACAGAGCAGGGAGGTGACTCTGGGACAGGGTACGACAACAGACACACTAGACACAGAGTGGCTCTTGGTACACTTACTGCCGTGTATTTGGGGGAAATCTCTCAAAACCGAGGATCTGAACTGCCGTGGCCACTGCTGCCTGTATCACAATGGAACTGTGCCACCTCGCACGTAAATGACTGGGCTCCCAGCCTGTGAGACAGGACTCCTGGGCGCATCGGCCAACAGCTCAGCGCTCCCAGGCAGCAGGCAGAGGGGTCTGAAGCCAAGCAAGGCAGACAGAGCTGCTTCTAACTGCACTTGTTGGAGTAGAAGTCAGGGCCACGTTAGGACGGAGCTCGGCTCTAGCAGGCAGGCAGGGCCTCCCCTTGTCTCCAAGCCCCGCAGAGGCGGCAGGCTCGTACTTGGCGTGCCGGGATGGCCAGCATCGGAGTAAGGCCAGCCAGGTCACAGCTGTCCCATCACCTCCTTTGGTAAAACCAAGACCGTGACACTGCAGGAGTGGACGACACTACGCGAATGTGCCTCACCAGCAAGCGCACACGCTCCCCCGTAACATTTAGTTTACTGGACAACAGTAAGACTAGTTAGGACTCTGAACCGAACACAAAACAAAACAAAATTATTTTTAAAAAATTTAAACTATGTGTTTGGAGCCATTTTCCTTCTCTTTAGTCTTGCTCACCAGTCCTCAGGAAGGGCTTCAAAATTAGCATTTCTCTCTGCCATGCCACTGACCAGCTGCTGCTGCTTCCACTCCTCGACGCGCTTCTGGGCTGTGGATTCCCGGTCCTCCTCGCTGGAACTTGAGTTTTCCTCCTCATCTAACTCACGCTGGATAGTCTGCCACTTCTTTACCGAAGATGGCATTTTGGTTTTACTCTTCTTGGCCTTATCTTTCTTTCCTTTCTTCGTCTTCTCCAGTGGTGGCGGTGTAGAAGGAGGAGGCGGTGAAGGACATGGCTCTATGACAGCAGCGGCCGGGTGCACCTGGACTGGCTGCAGGGAGGCTGCAGTCACTCCCATGGGGACAGAGCACTCGGTGTAACTCATGAAGGCCGGTGTGGCTGCAAGGCCCAGGTAGCTGGACTGCAGGCTCAACCCTCCGGCCTGGTGACCCATGCCTGCAGCTGCGTGGCTAAGGGACACGGGCTGGTGTCCAATCCCTGGGGCCACAGGTGGCTGGCTGTGGATGACCGGGGAGCTCCCGATGGTGGCTGAGCGCTGAACCACTGTGCTGCTCGTATCCGTCGCCTTTCTCTTCACCACCTTCGTGGAGGGAGAGCTGGACTCGGCGGCATCCACAGTGCTCTGGCTGGTGACAACTGTGGCCTGTGCTGCAGGCTCCAGAGGCGTGTCCTCCTCTGTCCCAGGGCAGGAGGCTCCTCGCTGCCCTCGTCCTCCGTCTCTACCTCCTGGATCTCACCGTCCTCTGCCGGGGGTGGAGGGGCGCTGGTGGGTGAGGCGGGGAGTCTGGAGGTGGCGGCATCGCCAGCGACAGGGGCGGCTGGAGCACAGGCATATTGGACTGAAGCAGGGTCCCGAAGGGAGTGAGTGGCATGAGTGATGAAGACGACGCATGACCAGAAAAGGATTCTTCCCAAAGGGAACCCGTGGGATTCTCAGAGGACTCTGTGGCATTTGACTCAGCGCCAGGTTTGTCTTTCAAGGTGGATTTGGGAAGTCTCATCTCTACTCTCTTGTGCATGGCCTTCCTCCCCTCGCCGCCCCCTCCTCCTCTGGGAACTCCCACTGAGCCTCCCCGACTGTTCGTTTATACAGAAATGCCGTCTATGATCCTTGTCCCAGTGGCAGGACCAGCCTTTAAGAGTGGCATTCATCTCATACTGTTTTAGTTGTTCAGCTGCATCCGGAAGCCTTCGTTTAAGGTAGTTCCCAGTAAGAGCCCCTTCCCGCCAGTCCGCAATTCGAGTCTCAGTCTGCAGGAGCAGCACGTGGAAGGTGGAGATGGACGGTCTATTAATGCCCAAGAATTCGAATCTGCCTGTCAGGATGTTGCCAGCTCTCCCATCTGAAATTTCAAATCCTGGTCTCTTCTACTTTTAGTGCTGTTTGTACTTTCATCTTCTCTGAAGATTCTTCTACTTCTGCCTCTTTATCTGAATTTTCATCTATTTTTTCTGAATTTTCAGCACCAATTCCGCTTTCTCCATTCTCGGGCGTCTCCCGTGCGGTTTTGCTGGAGCTCCGGCTGGTGGACGCCGGCTGGTCGGGTGGACGAACATCTTCCACTTGCCTTGTTTGGACCTCGGTCTTCGCACCTCGTCCTGAGATGCCGGCTGGCTGACTCTCCTTCCGCCAAGGCTCTCAACTCCGCACTAGCTCCCCAAGGGTGAAAAGTTTCCCAGGAGCATTTTTCAAAGGCAGGCGCATTTACCGGCTGTCACCACCAGAAGCTGACTATGCAGCCCGACTGGCCCACAGGAAGGCAGGACGCGCACAGCCCCCCTGCAGGCAAATCTTTACATACACTGGCTAAAATGGCCACCATTTACCATTGGCTTTATGGGTGCCGTGAGAGGTATGGGAATCCTGTCCCGGAACCTCCCCAGGAGACAGGACTGTAATTATTCCCATTTCATGAAATGAAGAAACCGGGTCCCAGGAGGTATCTACTTTGGCCATGGTCACTGGACTGGTACTGTTCGGAGCCAAGACTGGAACCCATGTCTGTCCTGGTACCAAAAGGGAGGGCCCACCTACACCAGACCCCCGCCAGCTCCACCTGAGTGACAGCCACAGTACCTGTCGGGGCTGAGGTTCTGGCCCGTGTCAAAAGCTCTCGCCACGAGGATCATGGATTGTCTGTCACCAGCTTCAGCTGCCTTCAGTAAGTAGTCAAATCCTTTTGTTTTATTCTCTTCCGTTTCCTGTCAATACAGACCAAAAAAGGAGGAGAAAAAAAGCAAATGAAGCATTCTCAAAGGGAAGGGGGCTGCCAAGATCTTGCCCATCAGTCTTCTCATTTTTTTTTTGTACCAGGGATCGAACTCGGGACCTTCCGCTTGCAAGGCAGGCAGCAGAACCACTGAGCTAAATCCCCAGCCCCCCATTTTTAAAGTTATTTTGAGAATTCTGAGCCAGAGATACAGTAGTGTGTGTGTGTGGGGGGGGTACTGAGGATTGAACCCAGGGCCTTTGCACTAAGCTACATCCCCAGACCTCCTCTCAGTCCACTCCACCCCCTCTTTTCTAAAGACAGGGTCTCACTAAGCTGTCCAGGCTGGGCTTGAGCTTGTGGTCCTCCTGTCTCAGCCTCCCAGAGTGCTAGGATTACATACTGCAGGTTTTTAGTATACTCATGGAATTGTACAATCATCATTATAATCAATTTTCAGAATATTTTCATCAACCCAGAAAGAAATACCATTCCCTTTAACTGTCAATCTCACCCTACCCAAATTTCTCTGCTCCACTCAGCCCTAGGCAACAACCAGTCCATGTTCTATCTCTATAGATTCTGGGCATTTCATGTAAATGGGATCATAGAATATGGGGCATTTTAGGTCTGGCTTCTATCACTTAGCATGATATTCTCAAGGTTCATCCATGGTGAAGTGGCCATTAGAACTCCATTGGTTTTAGGGGCCGGGGATTTAGCTTGGGTTCCACTGCCTGGCTCGCAGGTGCAAGGACCGGAGTTTGATCCCCGGTACCAAAAAAAAAAGAAAAGAAAAAAAAAACTCCATTAGTTTTAATGATGAAATAATATTCCATTGTATGGATATATCAGCATCCATCTGATATATACTTTATGGCTGTTATGAATAGTGTTGCTATAGCCAACATTTTGTTTGTTTTTTGGTACCAGGGAATGAACTCAGGACCTTGCACTTGCGAGGCAGGTGGCGGAACCACTGAGCTAAATCCCCGGCCCTCTTTAGCCTTTTGAGGAGCAATCCGCCTGGCCTCCAGAGTGCTGCGCCACTGGGCTCCCCACTAGCAGTGCAGGAGGGCTCCTGCTTCCCCTCCGCTCCCCCATGATCCATCCCACAGCAGCAAGAAAGATGCCTGTGAAGCCTGAGTCGGGTCACATCACGCTCTGAAAACTGCTCCACAACTTCCTCTCTCATTCAGAGACAAAACCAAAGCCCTCATAGTGGCCCATGAAGCCCTCCTCAACCTTCAAGCCTCACGATGGCTGTCAGGGACTACCTGCCATGTACATACTGGTTCTTCCTGCCATGTCTTTGGTAGGCCTGTGGTTAGCCAGCCCCAAACTACATTTCCCAGCCTCCCTTGCAGCCTGAACTTGTGTCTAATACGAGGGGCCTATCCAGTCTCTAACCATTCAGCATCTTATTTCTCCCTGGCATCTTAGAACAATACTTAGCACAGAAAGAGACCTCAATAAAGGTAATTTTTAATTATGTTGGGAGAATTTTATTTGTTCATCATTATCTGTATTAATAAGCTTTTCCATCAGAAAAGTCTGCTCCATGAGAGCAGGAACCTTGTCTGTCTCCCTCACTGCTATGAATATAAACCTAGTGAGACCAGGAAGCTACAAGGCAGGGAAGCAGGAAAAGGCTGTTCTCATAAAATCAGCAAAAACAGCAGCTCACTATTTCAAAGGACAAGGGCCGGGGTAAACTGAGATATGCCCTGGGAAGCTGAGGGTCCAAGGGAGGTCTCCTCTCCCCAATGTCAGAAGCCTAGCTAAAAGCAGCAACTGCATTATTTCACTGTCTCATTTTTTGCACACCCACCAACATAGCCCAATAAAGTGTATATAAACCTCTGAATTGAGTGTATATAAACCCCTGAACTGCTCCTCAATGTCCTCCCCTGGAGCCCCCTTTTCATTAGCGAGAGCTTTTCTTTGTTCTTTTAAACTATACTCAGTTCATCCCCCACTGCTATGTCTCTGGACTTCATTCGTCATCCCCAGGTAGATGCTGGTCCAGGCTGGAACCCAGCAGTGTGCAGGAGTAGGCTCAAACAGGACATGCACGTCCAGGAATTTAGCAAACCAGTTAAAAAGCACAGCCACCATTAGAAATTAAATCACAGGCTGGAGGCGCAGCGCAGGGGTAGAGCGCTTGCCTAGCATGAACAAGGCCCCGAGTTTAAGCCACATTGCTGAAAAAAAAGTTATAAAAACTTACAGAATGAGATGAATCACGTTAGAAACAAAGGTAGCAAATATTCAAAACTCATCACTTTGCAATTAATTTTACTACATTTTACTACTATTTATTCTCTTGAGGTTACTTATGTCTCCCCTGGGTTTCTCCATCTCAGCTCGGTAGTCATTTGGTGCCATATAAATTCCTCACTGTGGGGGCTGCCTTGTGCTTTCAGTGATGTCACCAGTACCCCTACTCTCCACTCCCCAGATGCCAGCAGCACCTCAGTGGCTGGGACAATCCAAAATGCCCAGACACTGGTGAGCATGCCCAGGAGAAGCAGGAAGCAAAGTCTCTGGTTAAGAGCTAGAGCAGCTCACAAACTAAACACAGAGAGCACTAGCAAGAGGCCCTGCACAAGGATGATACAGAAATCTGTGAAAAATCAAATATTTTTAGAGGCTAGGGAAGGGGAGAGGAGAGGCTAGGCTATGGGTATAAAGTTACAAGTAGCAAGAAGGAGCTGGGCGTGGTGGTGCACACCTGTAATCCCAGCACTTGGAAGGCTGAGGCAGGAGGATCACCTGAGTTTGAGGCCAGCCTAGGCTACACAGTGAGTTCAAAGCTGGCCTGAACTACATAGTGAGACCCTTTCTCAAAAAAGCAAACAAACCAACAAAAAAAAGTAGCTAGAAGGTTTTTGAGCACTCTTACCAAAGAAATGATAAATGTACCAGTGACTGATATGCTAGTTAGCCTGAAGAGCTCATTACACAATGTATACAGGCTTTGAAACATACTGCTGTGCCCCACAAATATGTACAACTATCAGTTTAAAAATTAGAAAGTGTATCAGTTGAGAACCACCCCTGGTTACCGCATCTGTACGCTGGACAGTGCCGAGCCCGAGCATTCCTGCCAACTCCACACTTGGTGGTGTCGCTGTGGACACTGCCACTTGGCCCCTCACCTCTCTCACCACACCCCGGAAAGCAGACCATGCTACAAATCAGGCTCTGACTTATCGTTTTCTTGATCATCTAAACTTAAGAAATGGATGGGAAAGGAAAACAATAGGAACAGGAATAATAGGAATACTACAGATTAAATCTGAAACTGTGTCATACCTGTGGCTATTCTACTCTGACTAGCACAGGAAACCGGGAGAATGTTCTTGAAGCATATAAAAGTATTATCTGATTCAAACTGGGCGTAGTGGCCCACACCTGTAATCCTAGCACTCGGGAGGCTGAGGCAGGAGGATGTCATGAGTTTGAGGCCAGCCTGGGATACATAGTGAGTTCAAGGCCAGCCTGAACTATATAGTGAAACCCTATCTCAAAAATAAATAAATGAATAAATAAGTAAATAAATTACTTGTTAGGCTGAGAATGAGAGAGGAAAAAGGAGGTTTTCACTGTAAACCTTTTCATACTGAAAAAATTTCAGTCACACGAATATATTACCTATTCAAAAAGTTAAATAAAGGACTTCTAAGTTTCTTCTCACGCTGTTCCAGTCTGATATCCACCCGATCACTGGCCATGGTCCAGCCCCACGGACTGGTGCCGAGTCCATGTGGAGCCCAGCCTTGCCCAGGCTCCTGTCTGGCCGCCACCCTGGCCCAAGTGAGGGGTGGCTGGGGACAGACACGCCCACCCACAGCCTCTCTACTTTCCCTAGGCGAGATCTCAGTCTTGAGGCCTCGCCAGATTCTGACCACTCAGTCCTTTCCTCCTGAGCCCACGGACCAGGCAAAGGAGGAGGAAGGAAGCCCTGCACGATTTCCAACACATCCTACATCGTCCTGCCTCAGGTTCCGCCCGTTAGCCCCAGCTCCTACACTGTCGCAGCCCCACATCCCAGCTCCACTGGCCGCCGCTTGGCCTCTGCCCTGCCATCTTGTCTCTGCCTTTGGGCCTAAACACCCCAGCTCCCTCTGCCCAACTGCCCACTTCCCACACTCGGCCTGGCTCCCTCCCATTCAGCCTTGAGGTCCACCTCGGACATCTCACTCTGACTGAGCACATACTAAGTGCCATGCTCTGCTCTAGCCCCTAAGAGTATGGCCAGAGCTGATAGGCAGGAGGCTTGTGCAAACCCTCAAAACCTCGGCTAGCCAGTGTGGTGGCACACGCCTGCAGTCCTAGCCACATGGGAGGCTGAGACAGGAGGCTGCAAGTTTGAGGCTAACCTAGAAAGACCCTGCCTTAAGGCAGAAAAGCAAAGCTGGGCTATGGCTCGGAGGTAGAGCGCTTGCCTAACGTGTACAAGGCCCTGAACTCAGTCCCCAGTGCAACAGACCCAGTCAGGCCCTTTCTTACTTGTTTCCACCAACATCTTTACTTCCCCATCATACTCTGTCTTTATGCCCCGGAAATGTGACTGATGTGACTGTCACCTCCCACACACTCTCTAAGGACAGACTGTTTTCTTTTGGTGGGGGTACTGGGAATTGAACCTAAGGCCTTTTCACCGGGCTACATCCCTAGCTCTGAATACATTTTGGGACTTGTTTTCTGAGATAGGGTCTCACTACATAGTTCAGGCTAGCCTTGAACTCACCCCCACTGGCCTCAAACTTGTGGCCTCAGCCCGCCTCAGCCTCCATCACAGGCATGTACCACCATGCCTAGCAATTTTCCTTTTTTTCTTTTCTGAGACAGAGTCTCACTAAGTTGCCCAGGCTGGGCTCAAACTTGCCATCTTCCTGCCTCGGCCTCCCGAACGCTGGGATTATAGACGTGCGCCACCATGCGTGGCTGACACAGGTCAATTCTATCAGTTTCAACTAACTGTGAAGTACCTGGCCCCAAACCGATGCCCAGAACGATCCCGGACATGGATAACCTTCCAGGAGCCAGGCGGTAACCTCCAGGACAGGAAGGCAGGGGAGCGCGGGGCTGAGGGGCCAAGCCCACCACTTCCTGCGGGGGCCCCCCTCACCTCCACAGAGACGTTGGCCAGGATGCGGTGGGGCCGCTGAGAGAACATGAGCCCCAGCCCCACGATGGCCTCCAGCTCGCCCAGGTCGGCCGCCTGCTCCAGGTGGAAGACGGCAGACTCGCGGTCCCACGCCGCGTCCTTCTTGCAGAAGCGCCCGCCCTCGTGGTAGCGCACCATGGCCAGGTGGACCTGACACACAGACTGCAGAGTTGGCCCGGCTGCTTGGGAGGCCCGAGCCACACCCAGGGCCCGCCCAGCTGGCCTGAGGGAGGCGGCGATTGGCCAGGAGGGGCCCGGGTTAGCACAGGGAGGGCTCCGAAGTGGGCAGCGCTATACCTTCCCCAAGACGGACTTCCCGATCTTCCTTTCGAGGTGCAGAGCGTTAAGCCGCTGTACTTCCAGGGCCACGGCCGACGGCCTCGGCAGGTGGAGGCGGGAGGGGTTGAGGAGGTTCCACTTCTCCACACAGACCTAAGGGAGAGAACCGGGCAGGGGAGTTTAGCGCTGGACAAGCACAGGGCCGGACGGAGCCCCTCATGCCCAGGAGCCAGCTGGCGAGAGCAGGGGAGCGAATCCTCAGTGTCCATTTGCTGCCTTCAGTCTTAATCATTTACACGCCAGCAGCTTGTGGGTGCAGAGGGACTGCAGCACCAGGACACATCCAGCAGAAGGGAAGGCAGCAGCTCAGAGAAGGACTTTCCCTCATTTCTCAACCTGGGCCTGGCTGGACGTTAACACGCAGCCTCCTCTTTTACAGCTCCCCATACCAGGTACCCGAAAAGTCAGACTTCAGCAACCACTTGCTGTGCTACGTGAATCAGCCAGGATGCTCTGGGCAGCATCGGCAGGCACCGCAGGAAATGGGTTTAGAAAACATCATTTCTCCCAGCCAAAGATGGGTTCTTGCAGAACACGGCCAGGCGGCTGTGCTTTGCACATGTGTGTGCTAAACATCCTACAACGCGGAGGCGTGCCCACTACCGAGAGCGCTCCACTCCAGAACGACAGTGTGAGCACCACTGAGCAACCCTGCCCACGCCAGCAGGCCCCTGGCCCGACTGAGGGATAGTTCAGAGCGACGGACAGTGCTGTGGGAGGAGAAGAGGCAAGTGTGCGGGGCAGGTGAGGGTCAGCATCTGGGGAAGTGTGGTCAGGGAGGGGCAGGGCGGCTTAGCAAAGGCTCCGAGTCAGGAGTCAGCTAGAGGAGTGCGGGGCTGGTCTTTCCCAGATCTGCTGGACGCTGATCGTCATCTGAGAGACTGTATTTATTACGCATACAGGCTGAGCATCCCCAACCTGAAAACCCAAAACCCCAAAGGCTCCCAAATCCAAAATGTTCTGAGCACTAATGTGACACTGAAAGTAGAAAACGACACACTGACCTCATGGTACAGGCCTCGGTCAAAACTGGGCACACAAAAAATAAAGTATAAGATCACCTTTAAGCTACATATGAAACATAAATGAATTCCACGTTTAGACTTGAACCCCACCACAACTTATCTCAGTATGTATATGCAAAGATTTGAAAATCAAAAAACATCTGAAATCCAAACACTTGAAGTCCCAACCTTTCTGATAAGGAATACTCAACCTGGACTAGCCGATAACCCAGGGAAAGCTGCCTAGGATTTTAGTTTTCATAAACATAAAATGGGAATGAAAAAGTTGGGCATGGTGCCACAGGCCTAGAATCCCAGTTACTTGGGAGGCTGAGACAGGAGGATCTTGAGTTCAAGGCCAGCCTGGGTAACTTAGTAAGATCCTAGCTTTAAAAAAAGAAAGATAGGAAGAAATAAAGAAAGAAAAATTTAAAAAGAAAGGCCAAGGGCCGGGGATTTAGCTCAGTGGTTTCGCTGCCTGCTGCGCAAGCGCAAGGACCCGAGTTCGATCCCTGGTACCAAAAAAAATTTAAAAAAAAAAAAGAAAAAGAAAGACCGAGGATGTCACCCAGTGGTAGAGTACCACTATATTTGATCCCCAGTACTGCAAAAAAAGAAAAGAAAGTGTGCATGGGGTGGAGGAAGCATTAAATTAATTCTCTGAGGCACCCCCATGTCAAGCACTTTAACACATTAACGGTCCCTGCCACAGTCACTTCCCCTCAGGACCAAATCTCTAACCCGCCCCATGGTCCCCCAACAACCGGCCCAGGACAGGACCTCAAATTTGCCCCGGTGACTGCAGTTTGCTCCTTTGCAAAGTGCACACGTGCAAGGCGGACAGACAGGCAGCAGTGATGAGGGAGGAGAGACAGCAACAGAGCCCGGGTGGGCGGGGCTCCTAGGGGCACATTACCCGTCCCTCGCTGCCCAGGCTGTCTTCGTCAGACTCTGACCTCCGACTGCCATTCGAGTGGCCCTGGGTGGAAGCAGAGAGTGAGCGTCTAAGGGGCAGACCCCTTGCCAGGAGCCCCCCTGGGGAGCAGGGCCACAGCCCCACACGCACAGCGACCCTCCCCAGGCAAAGCCAGGGCCTCGCCGGCCAAGTCGAAGGGGAGCTGGGTCACAGGTGTGGACGGAGCCTCCCTTGCCTTTCCTGGTGAAGGGGAGGAACCAACCCAAGGGCTCGGACCCTGCAGAGCCCCTGGGAATGGTGCCGAGACCAAGGGCTTCCTCGCACCGAGGCTCCTCCTGCCTGCCATGCAGTCACACTGCTGCTGGGGCCAGGGGCTGCCTGACAAAATGGCCTTGAGCACAGCCTCGGTGTCGGCACACGGTGAGGCCCCTGAGCGGCTGATACCCGGGAGGCCACTCACCGAACGGTGCAGGTGCTGCGCCTCGCCGCCCGCAGCAACACTGCTCCAACCTGTAACTCGCATCCTCTCCTCAGCGACCAAAGGCTCCAGCTCCACCATTTTCAACCTGGCACCCACCCCCCACACCTGTCCCCTTCCTGGTCCATATCACCCTGCTTTACCTGCCTCCTGGCATTCTTCTTTATCGGAGGTCATCTTGTTAGTTTACCACTCATATACCCCCACCCCCTCTAGCTTTCTACCCTTTAAGAGGACAACTCAAGCCAAAGGCACTCTTTTATTTTTTTGAGACAGGGTCTGGCTTAGTAGTTCAGGCTGGTCTTGAACTCACTATATAGTCTAGGCTGGCCTTGAACCCATGGCGATCCTCCTGCTTCAGCCTCCCAAGTGCTGGGATTACAGGTGTGCACCACCACGCCCGGCTAGCAACAGGAACCCTGTTCTCACTGCCCAGGGCAGGGGGCTTACGTGTTCTTGGGGCTCAGGGTCATCCAGCTTACCCCTCTTCTCACTGGGGTATCCACTATCCCCACTGGTCTGAGAGTCCTGTGGAAAAAAGATCATCTCGGGGTCCCAGGGGTCCTCTGGGTCCTCGATGGTGGTAACATTTGGACATCCCCATCATTGGCTTTCTTTCTCGTGTCCCACTGACCCCCTTATCTCCCTCCGACCCCTTGCTGGTTGGGGGACCCAGAGCTGTATAATATGGAGGCAAAGAGCCCGGGCTTGAACTTCACCTTGGTTACTCCCAGCTGCAACCTGGGCAGGTGTTCAACGTCCCTGAGCTTTGATTTCTTTAGCTATGGGATTCACTTTAGCACCTCCACTAAAGGGCAGTGCGAATGAAAGGAGGTGTCAGTCTGGGGACGTAGGTGGCTGTTATTGGCAGTACTCATGGGCCCCTCACAGGCAGGAAATGAAGGACAGTTTAAGGGCTATGACCCCTCACAAATACAACCCTGGGAACTATGTGTTCTGCAAGGGAGCGCTCTGCCAAAACTGCACACACCTCCTGAACGTATTTTCCATCTCCTAGATACATACGTGTTCTGTTCTAAATCTGGCACCATTTAGAATCTTAAAGATTTGCCTACTAACAAGGAGTTCCGGCTGTATCTGCATGAAGAGGCATCATTAGTCACCCAATACATTTATTTTCTTCCTCCTCCTAAGAAGTATTTCAACAAATAAAAATCAAGAATGCTAAAATGAACTCCTTTGCACCTACTGCCCAACTTTGTCAACTCGTCAGACTTTTAATTTTTTAAAATTTTATTTATTTTTTAGGTACCGGGGAATCGAACTCGGGTCCTTGCGCTTGTGCAGTAGGCGGCAAAACCATGGAGCCAAATCCCCAGCCCTAGAGTTTTAATTTTTGAAAGGAGTTAAAACATCACTAATGGCTGGGAGGCTGAGGCAGGAGGATCACAAGCTCAAGTCTAGTCTGGTCAGTTTAGTGACATACAAAGAACCCGTCTCAAAATGGAAAAAAAAAATGAATTTGAGCTTCTGACACAAGGTAAAGTGCTAGTACAATGTCAAGTGTGATGGTGGCATCTACAAGTATGGCATTTCTGCTGAGTCTGTTCACTTATGCATTTTTCACTGGCTGCCGTAACATGCATTGGGTGACTGTAAACACCATGCCTTTAGTTTCTCACCACAGAGTCAAGCTTGAGCTGCAGAAAACATTCATTCAGCGCTGTGCCTCACATCTGAGACCCTGCCCAGGGTCCCAGGAGCCCACCGACCACACATGTGGCCAAAGCAAACCCAGGGTTGAGCCTGCCATTTGCTAGAAGGTGACACTGCCGCTGGTGTGGAAGCTTCTTCTCCCTAAGAGCTGCAATGGGCTGCGCTCCTCCTGAAGGAAAGCTCCACCTTGGGCAGGAGCTGATTCAGCTGCCCTGACCCCATTCCCTCCTGGGCCCCGGAGGACCCCAGGGCAGGCTGCCCACCTGAATCTAGGTCGCCTCTCAGTTCCCATAGAGAGAGCCCCCTCGCCCACCCTGTCAGGGCTGGAGCCTGCAGCGGCCTCCCCCAACTCACCCAGTGGTTGTGCAGATGGTCGGGGTCTCTGGGCGCCATGTTATCAGGGTCACCAAATGCGGGCCAATCTGGACAGAGACAGGGACAATGAGCTGATTTCCCTACCGGAATCGTCACAGGACTGCACCTGTCACCAAGCCTTTATTTTTAATTTTTAAAGAAAGGCACAAAATGGGAGGATGTTGTCTGCCCCCGGGGGGCTGTAGTTCTTTCTCAAGCACTTATTCGAAGACTGCCACTTGCCAACTAGGGGCCCTGAGCAAATGACTTCAGCTTGTCCCTCCTTGGTGTCACAATGTGGTTAAATGGGTGATGCACTTATCTGCGTGCCTGAATCTGAACAAAGTGCAGCTGTGAAGGAAGAAAAGTTATCTGTGTACTTGGGGCCCAGTGGGTGCACCTCAGATGGCGTCCTCTCCTGGTAATTCTCCAGCTTTCCTCCTGCCCTAAGCCCTCCTGAGCCACATCTGCATGGCTGCATTCCCATAAAGTGTGTAATAGGGGCTGGGGGACAGCTCTGTGTAGAGTGCACCTAGCAGCTAGGAGGCCTTGAGTTTAATCCCTATCGACAGAGACAGAGGGAGGGAAGGGGGGAGGGGGACGAGACTGTAAGAATTGATTTGACATTTTAAAATAATTGCCCAAAGGATCAAAACTACAGCCAGGGGTGGTGGCACATGCCCATAGTCCCAGCTACTAGGGATGCCAAGGCAGGCAGGAGGATCACCTGAGCCCAGGAGTTCGAGGAGAGCCTGGGCAACACAGTGAGATTCCGTCTCAAAAAAAAAAAAACAAACTTGAAAATCAAAAGAAGAGTATTTTTTATTTTTTATTTTATTTATTTATTTATTTATTTTTTTGGTACCGAGGATCAAACTCGGGTCCTTGCGCTTGCGCAGCAGGCAGCGAAACCACTGAGCTAAATCCTCAGCCCAAGAAGAGTATTTTTTGACATGAGAAAATTATATGAGACTTAAATTTCAGTGTCTACAAGCAGAATTTTATTGGAATATAGCCACACTCATTCACTGAAGTATGATCTATGACTGCTTCTATGATGCAAACACAAAGACCATGTGGCTGTAAAGCTTAAAATATTAACTCTCTGGCCCTTTGAGACAAAGTCTGCTGACCCCCGCTGCGGACTGCTGTCGAGGTCTCCCCTAGGGACATTAAGATCACCCTCTTATGCTGAGCTGAGCCTGCTCCTCCACGGCTGTTCCCAGCTGAGTAAATGGCCACACCACCTTCCACTTCCTCAGGCCCAAACCATGGAGAAACAGTGATTCGGCTTTTCTCCTTTGACCCATTAATATGATAATAGATTTTCTAATGTTGAACAATCCTCAGATTCAAGGGTGAAACAGCTCTTTTCAAGATACTATTAGTTTTGGTCTGTTAATAGTTTATTCAGAAATATACATATATAAATATATGTTTATATATTACACAATATTGATTATATATGGCATATATATATAAATGGCTTATTAATACTTTATTCAGAAATATATATATTTTGGATATAAACATATATATTTATATATATATTCGGGGTGCAATTTTCTTTTTCGGTGTTCTGTCAGTTTTTGTATAAGAGTTTGCAAGTTTCATAAACCACAGTGAAAAATGTTACCTTGTTTTTTATAAGAGGTTGTTTTTATACATTTGAATGACCTGTTGCTGTCTTAGAAGTTCACTGGAACAACTCACCCGTAAAACTACCACAACCACGAACCTTTTTCATAGCATGTCTGATTTAAACCAGTTTCACCCAGCTATACCTGACACCTGTCCCCTCCATCACAACCACCAGGGGGCACCCCACCACTCACGGAAGAGGTTCAGTTTCTGGCTTTGTGGGGTGGCCGGAGAAGGAGAGGAAGAGAGAGAGTCGAAGGCCACGTCACTCATGTTCTCATCTCCAGAGTTCTCTGACAGGTGAAGGAGCAGCGGGGGCCGACTGGCAGAGAGGGTCCTGACTTGGGGACTCCCACACTTCTCCTCTGTCCCCCTCAGCATGGTCTTGGCTGACTGCTGGGGACATTAACAGGATATTTGTGTCATGTGGGCACTCTCTGGGGGGAAGAAGGGCGCTTTTTGCTGTTCCCCCTAACCCTGAAGCCCTTTCCCCATGGGTTTTATACATGCCTAACAGAAAATCTTAAAAAAACCATCAGCTCAGGATTAACCCTACAGCACCCAAGAAGGGGTACATGAAACGGAAGTCTAAGATCCTACAAGCCGCTGGCAGGCTGGCCGTGCTTACAGCCCTAAGCTGAAGAACACATCCAGTCCTGTCCAGAACCCCAAGCTGGTCTGTGCCAATACTGCTCTGCATCTGGTCCATGGAGCAGGGCTGGGGGAGCCTCACCTTATGCCCAGCAAGATGCTGGGAGAACCAGGTCTCAGTCTAGTCCACTCATTTACCAATATACCACACGGTCACACACCACACACCTCTCACTTCTCCACCTGCCTGTTCTCTTCACTCTGCTCACGAATAGGCCCAACTCAGGCAGATGCCAGTGTCTCTTGCGGGGACAGAGGGCTCAGTGTGCTGAGCTGGAGAGTTTGGATTCAGGCACAGATGGGATGGATCTGTCCAGTCCTGATATTCCCCACTTAAACATTTCCAGGCCATCGGGAGGCAGGGTTGCCAACTGGGTGGCAGAAGGACTGGTCAGGATGAGTGGGTTCCTACTGGGTACCCACCAGCAGCTTGGTGTTCTTATTCACTGCATCCTGCTCCCGTGGGGAGAGGTCAAAAGGAGCCAGATGCATGCTCCTGCAAATCCGGTTGCAGGCATGAGAGTAGAAGAATAGAGCCATGCCCCGGACACCTGTGGACAGAGCAGGGGTGTATGAATAACAGCAGGGGAGGCAACACCAACATGACCAGGGCAGGCAGAACATGCTGAGCTGGAAGGGGGTCAGACACCCTCACCTCCCACCTCGATGAACCTGGGAAGCCCCATGCATGGTCTCAGCCTGCTTCCTCGGGTGTACAAAACACTTGCAGGTTTTAGTGGGGAGTGTGGCCATCATGAAAACTAGCTGGCTTTCCTCTCTTACCTAGGTTGCCATCTCCGAAGTCTGTGCCCGCCTCGGTGTGAATCTGCGGATCAGTATAGAGGTCACCCACACCCTGAATGTCCACCACAATCAGCTGATGGCCAGAACGCTCAAACGTGAAGTGGCTGAAAGCCTAGGGGTACAAATGAAGCAAGGTGATTGCAAGACGCCAGGCTGTGGGCTGTGCAGACACTGGCAGCCACCCCATGTCTGCCCATGCTGGAGGGTTTTCCCCAAAAGGAGGAATCACACAGAGGAAAAGACAAGGGAAAGAGGCCTGTTCAGTTCCACAGGGATACAGGTCTGGTGGCCATCTAGGTCTGCTAACAGAAGCTGACACTAGGTGACAGTGTCCCAACACAGAATTTCCTCAGATGCTCCCAGTGGTGTTAAGGGCCCCTGGGAATGTGAGACCTTATATCCACAGGGATTCTTTGTAGGGGCTGGACCTGGCCAGGCTTCACCCCAAAGAACTGGGTTAGATGGAGGGTGGAGGTGTAGGTAGAGCAAGCACAAGGGCCTACCTGTGGTGTCAGGCGGATGTTGTCATCACGGACAAATCCTGAGTTGGAGTTGTACTTGATGTATTTGCCCTCAATGTAGTGCTCCAGGTGGAAGAGGGGCTTGCCTGGTCTCTCCTTCAGCTCAATGATGCACATCTGCATGATGTCCACCTGCCAGGAGGTTGGGGTGGGGGGTCAAGTGGAAAAGCAGGGACTTGGGGAAATGTGCCCTCTTCTGTTCGGGCTCAGATCCTGGAGCCATCACGTGCTAGTTCCTATGGCAGGAACTGCTGATTGTCAGCAGAATCCATTCTCCCTTTTTACTTTTAGAATGAATACCCTGATCTCTGAATTTCAACAGGATGTATTATAAAGAATATGTTGCTTGGCCTCCCTTGCAGCTAGGTGAAGTTATATGACCATATCTAGCCAATGAGAAGTGAGCAGCACCAATGCTGTAACTGCAGCTTCCCTGTAGGTAGACTCTGCCTGTGACTCAGAACCGACCTCATGATCCACAGTAACTGGGGGACAGCAGAGAACAAGACAGAAGGAACCAGGCCTCTGGCTGACTTCCAGGATGCAAGGTACCAGGCCACCTATAGCCAACCCTCAATGTAAGATTGTTACACGAGAGAAAACACACCATTGTGTGATACGTATTTGTAGATCTGTTTGCTTGCAACTTAGCCTGTGCTTCACATTAATACTATGAATTTGTGCAAGACAGTTCACCTCTCTGACGCCATCTCATCTGTAGAGAGGGGACTTCAGATTAGTACAAAATTTAAATTTGTGGATACATGTATCCGATGCAAAGGAGTCAGTCAATGGTTGGGACATTATTATTCTCAGCAGACATAATTCTTTTTATACATAGAAGAAAGTATTTAAGTACTCTGGTTTGTAAAGAGGGGTAGGAAAGACCTATGACTTATAGCTCCTGCCTTGTTACACAAGGACTCACTCCCACACCCATCACCCTCGATGTCACCCATAACAGGGGAGGCACCAGGGCTGGGTTTCCCAAGAAAATGTCTTTCCAGGGAAACTGAGTTACTGCACAAGTGGACAACAGCTACAGAAGGAGCCCAGAGCTGAGGCCAAGAACTTCCTCAAAAGAGGCCCAAGGTCAAAGATCCGGCCTGGGGGGCCGGGGATTTAGCTCAGTGGTTTCGCCGCCTGCTGTGCAAGCACAAGGACCTGAGTTTGATCCCCGGTACCAAAAAAAACCAAACCAAAACAAAGATCCAGCCTGGGAGGAGGAAGGCAAAAGGGAGTTCTCAGAATGTTCCCACTCCAGTGCTGGCTCTGTCCCTACAAGGAAGCCTGTGGCAGGGCCATCTGCTTGGCTGGCAGGCTCACCGCGTGAGGGGCAAGGCCACAGGCTATGGACAGCCAGTCCCACACAAACCACCATACTCATCTTCCTCCCCTAACTCAACCAAATTATTATTTACTAGACACCTAGGTGCCTGGGGACAGCAGTGAACAAAATAAATCCCAGCCTTTGGGGAAAGCAACTGAAATATTAACTGAATGAACAAGACTCTCAGATAGCACTAACTGCTCCAAAGAAAGGAAAATAGAAACAACCCAGAAAAATACAGCAGAGATGAAGGGGTAGAAGGGCAACTTTAGTTAGGGTGGGCTCAGGTGGCCTTGCTGAGGAAGGGACACATGAGCTGAAACCTGAACCCCAAGAAGGGCTGGTGAGGCACGGGATGTGTGTCAGGCTGGGCAAAGGGCCTGGAGCAGGTGCAAGCTCAGGAAGGATGAGCAAGGAGCCCAGGCAGAGTACAGTGAATTATGGAGGAGGTCACAGCCCTTCAGAGCGGGAGCTGTGGTTTCCCGTAGCCTCCCAGACCAAGCATGCTTAATCAAGGCCCTTTTTTGTGCCGGGGATCAAACTCGGGACCTTGCGCTTGTGAGGCAGGGGCCGGAACCACTGAGCTAAATCCCCGGGCCAATCAAGACCCTTACTAACAGCAGGTGCTCGATAAATCCTGCTGCCTGCTCAGAAGAGGGCCTTTCCTAAGGCACCCACAGTCAGTGCCTTGGATCTGGTCCCAAACAATGGGACAGCGGAGCTGTGAACCAAGGCCGGGCAGAGGCATGCAGCACGGCACAGGAAGCTGTGCTGGCCCCAGTCACAGCACACCCGGGGGCTCAAGTGAAGAGGCCAGCCCGGCAGAAGGTGCAAAGGCTGGATGAGCCCTGGCTCCATTCCTGCCTGGCCGGGCAAGTCATTCAACCTCGCTGAGCCCCAAGTTCTCCAGGGAGCCAACATGGCATCCACTCCCCATCCTTCTGCTTGTCCTTGGGAGCTACCCTGACCCCAGCCTTAGTCCATGTGGCCTGGGTGAAATGCTCCGCATTCCTGGCTCTAAGGGTGAGAACAAGGGTCAGGCCTTCCCAATCTATGTACCCTCCCCACCTTGGATTCCGTGATTGGCTTAGGCACAAGCATCTGCCCTAATAAGAACCAATGAAATTCAGTTCTGATTCTGGACCTTCTGGGAAAATAGGTGCTGCCATTCCAACAAGATGGCTGAGAAGACAGAAAGCCAAGCCGCAGCTGCAGGGGACTGACACACCACAACAAGTGTGGAGACTGCCGGAGACCATGTCAAGGCAGAACACCCAGACGGGAGATGGGAGAAGATTCCTGATAACCTCGGTTAGGTCCTGGATGCAGCCATGCCTGTAGTTGGTACTATTTTCCAGGTGCATAAAACAATGAATTTACTTTTTGGGTTAAACCAGTCTAAGTGGGTTTCAGTATTTGCAAAAATTCTGACTAATAGATTCCATCTGTAAATGGGAATAAAAACATTCTCACCTTAGAGCTCTGTTTTTAGGAACAGACGGCTGTCTACATATAGAGTGTGTTCATTCAATGGTTACTTGTTATTAATGACCGGAAGGTGAAGAAAGGGCCCTGGCCCCTCCTGCCTGGACACTGTCCCTGGCTGCTCTGGGGTGGGGAGGAGGCGGGTGGGGTACCATGTACCTGCTTGGGGGGCTTGTGCCGGTTATATTCCTGCCCCCAGAGCTTGGCCTCCATCTGCAGACGCACGTCCTCAAAGTACACGTCCCTGTCCACTGTCTCAATGTAGCGCTTTGCCACGTAGTTGGAGGCCCCCTTCCACTGCTGGGCATGCAGGAAGTTGGACAGCTTCTTCCTGGGGAAGAGGCAGGAGGGCCCTGCTGGACACTCTGGGGTTCACTGGGGACACAGTCCCCGGTCCTCAGGACAGCAAGGCCTGCTGAGGCCCACTGCATCCTTCAGAGAGCTGGCAAGGGGGTTACTGGTCACTTGAAGATCTCCCATCCCATTCCCTTGACCTTCCAATTTGAGAGGAGATCAGGGGCACTCCCTGAATCTCCAGAGGCCATCCCCACAGCGAGGCCCAGCGTGTGGCCTAGCAGAGACCAGATGGAGAGGAACTTGGGCTGCAAGGAGGCAGAAGCCACCGTCTCCAGTCCTTGCTGGAAAATGTCCCAGTGTCCTGATCTTAGGAGCCCAGTGAGCTTGGGCAGGGCCCGGAGCGTAGGATGAATCACTTACGTCCTGAAGCACTCCCTCATGGCTCCACGGCCGAAGGGCTGCAAGACATCACACAGAGACTCAGCAGTCCCAGCCCCACCCAGAAGCAGCCTGAGCTATCCCCCTAGAGTTCACCCACCCTCCTCACAACCTGCTATGCCTGGCGCCCCCTCCTGAACCCAGCACCAAAGCAAGCTAGGCCTTGAGCCTAGAGGTGCCCCCTACCAGGCAGGACTGGGGCAAGGGCACCATATATCAAAGAATGTTTTCCCAGTCCTGTCTATAATAGAAACAAAGTAGAAATAAAGCCAGTGCGGTAGCACATGTCCATGGTCCCAGCCACATAGGAGGCTGAGGCAGGAGGTTTGCCTGAGCCCAGGAGTTGTGGGCAACATAGTGATACCCTTTCTGCTACACTTTGTTTCCCTCCCTTTCTTCTTTACCCCCTTTCTCTCCTTCTCTCCCTCTCTTTCTTTTTTGCACTGAGGATTGATCCCAGAGACTCTACACTGAGCTCCATCCCCAATCCTTTAAAAAAAAAGGATCATGGGCATGTGTCACCATCTGGATGGTGAACACTCCCCAAGACCTCAGGCTTGAAGGCTTGGGTGTCAGTCTGTGGTGTACTACTGGGAGGCAGCAGGACCTTTAGGAGGCGAGGCCCTTAGAAGGTCACGTGGTCATTGGGGGGCGCCCTTGTGGGGAGTTAGTGGGACCCTATGCCCCTCTTCCTCTCACTGCTTCCTGCCCACCAGGAAGTGAACTGACTTCCTCCACCAGGGGCTCCTGTCATGACTCACTGTGCCACCCAGGCCCAAAGCAACCACAGCCACAGACTGTGGACTGAACCCCCGAGACCGGGAGCCCAAATACGCCTTTCCTTTCTCAGACATGATCTCAAGTATTTTGTCACAGGACAGAAAACTGACTAAGGCACTATTCAAACAGAGAAAGAATGAAGGAACTTAGATGTCTATTAATAATACACTGGATAAATCAACTGAGTGTTCATTCAGTGAAATATTACATAGAATGAACACAAAATGTTGAACAAGAGAAGCCATACTCAAAAAAATCCATCATCAGGGCCGGGGATTTAGCTCAGTGGTTTCACCACCTGCTGCGCAAGCACAAGGACCCGAGTTTGATCCCCAGTACCAAAAAAAAAAAAAAAAACTACATCATATGGATCCACTTATATGAAGTATAAAAACTGGCAAAACTAATCCAGAGTAATAGAATTCATGGGGCTGCTTCTCCTTGGGGGGAGGGAGCAGGGACTGAGGGTTTGTGGGGACACTGGCTATATTCTGTTTCTCAACCTGGGTTGGTAACATACTATATCCACTTTTGTTGTTGTTATTGTTGTTTTTTGAGACAGGGTCTCACAATGTAGTCCAGGCTGGCCTCGAACTCACACCGATCCTCCTGCCTCAGTCTCCTGAGTGTGCCACCACTCCCAGCACGAACTTAATTCTTTTCATTATTCTGGTCACAAACTAAATTGGACAAGAACTGAATCAAAGTCGATGGTTAGGTTCAATGTTGGCCTTATGGTGAAATCTGATTCAGTTCTCATCCCATTCAGTTTGCAGCCAAGAATTGTGAAAAGAATTAAGTTCGTGAACCAAGGCACACTGAATATGAATTATACCTCAACAAGACTATTACAAAAAATACAATACAGAAGCAATAGCACAAAGAAAATCCAAAGTTAAAAAAGAAATCAAAGTAGGTGAGGAGCAGAGGGCGCGGGGACTGAAGCTGGTTTGAGAAAGTCCTCCTTCAGCCCATCCCCTCAGGGCTCAGGGACCTGCTCACCTCAGATGCCATCTTGATCACAACTTCATCTTCTTGCCACTTCCCGGTGACAGCATTGTACCTGCAGAGACCCGGGCCCACTCCAGGATGCAGCTTCCATAACACGATCCCACCCCTCACTGGCTAAGGTGAAGACCCTGGGAGCTGCCCTTGGCCCTCAGGACCTCGCTGCTCTCCCCCTTGGCCTGGACCTTCAGGGCAGGTGTGGATGCTCTCCCTCCTTGCCAGCCCCTTTCCCCTTCCTCAAACACACTGTTGCTTCTCCAGCCTGTCCTCATTTTACCAACTCCCCCACACTGATTTCCGCCCTGTTGTCTGTCTTGTTCTGCATCTGGCTCCCCACGGGCCTGTAACTCCACAGAGACGACTCCTGGCTGTCTTGCTTATCACAGGCCTGGCGTGTGCAGATACCTAATATACCCTGGATGGATGGCTAAAGACATAAATATCCTTACTGTAACTGGTCTACAGAACAAACAGCACGTCCCAGGTAGGAGGGTGGCAGTACCCTCAATCTTGCCAGGCAACTGGGCCAGATGCAGCTCAGATAGCTAGGTACATGTCCCAAGAAATAAGGACTGTCCCCAGTGCAGGTAGAGGAAGGGAAGGATCTTGCCTCTGAGTTCAACCGGGAAAGGTCTGTTGGGTGTGTGCTTAAGGCAGAGAAAGATGGAGAAGGTTCTGGAACATTTCCACCTCTCCTCTCTCAGGAATTCTCTTTCCCAAAGAACATCTGGCCTCAGGGCTAGCTGGTCCTCAGACTGATTTGCCTGGTAGCAACTTCCTCAGCTCAGTGGATCACTAATGTCTAAAACCTCCCCTGGGCTGAGATCTTCTTATCTCTGGTTGATGGCCCCCCTTGGCCCACTTCTCAGCTGGGGCAGACTCCAGAACACACCCAGCCCGATGAACAGGTTTTTCAGAGCCTGAAACCTCTACAAGACAAAACTAGCCAAGGCCTGGCAGGTAACCTGCCCACTCAGAGAAGGAGGGCTTTTCATAGCCCATGGCAATAAATGAGAGCAGGCATTTTTTTATTACTAGATAGAGATGAAGGTCATGGAAACAATCCTCCTTCACCTCTACCCTGAGAGGCGCCAGAAGTTGGGGTAGGGGGACGTATCCAACCTTGGCAGAGCCTTACTTGCCACCCACAACCGCTAACATCACATACAAGAGGGCTCAAAGTTCACTGAATGCTCCTATGCCGAGGGCTTCAATTCAACCTTCCCAGCAATCCTGAAGTTGCTATACATATTATGCCCATTTTTCCAGAGGGGAAACTGAGGCTCAATAACCTGCCTGAGAGTCAGGATTCAAATGCAGGGTGGTTTAAACTAGAACGTTGCTCTCAACCAGCTGGAGTGTAACTCACATGCACAAGTATATCCGTTCCCAATACTGTAACAGGCTAGCTCTTTAAAAAAAAACTGGGAATGGAGAAGGAAGCCTCCACTTTAGAAATCTCACATTCTAGCCACCAACTCATAGGCCCTTCACTGCCACCAGCCAGGGCAAGGGAAGTCAGCCACTTCACTTAGGAAATAAACACAGTCTGGCCTGGCCTCAGATCCAAGATGAGCTCCAGAACACAGAGCCAGCCCGACCCATGGATTCTGCTCTCAGGCTGGCGGTCCCCAGGGCCTTCCTGGGGGCCTAGGGTCCTTGGCCTGGAAGCTGTGCATCACCAGCCAGCAACCAGGCATGCTCTTGTCGGTGGAAAGGAGCAGAGTCTATACCTGACACTGCGAGACCCTGCAATTCTGACCTTGGCTGCCGGGCACAGAACCCTGACCCCATCAATGGGGAGCCTCTAGCAGTGAACAGGGTGGGGCATAAAGAGCTCTAAAGCCATTTCCTCCTAGGGTGCTGCAGAAAGTTGGGAGGGGGCAGAATACACCTCTCAGCTCCCTGTACCTAAGTGGAGCCAGGGAACTAGATCTCACCAATGAAGTGTATGCAAAACTGATGCCACCTCCTGGGCTGGGGACTGGAAAGCCACTGTGCTACCCTGATGCTGTCCTTCCATTTGGCAGCGGTGGTGCAATTATATGTTGAGATGATGGATCTACAAGGTGGAAGTGGCCTGGATTCCCGAAGTACCCTGAAAAGTTGCTCCACTGTCATCCAACTTCAAAAACAGGAAATATACTTCGGCTGCGTGAAGCCTAACCTGTTTAATACGTTCCTTGTAGGACAATTAGAGGGACTCAATGAGGTAACTCAGAGTGCCTGGAGCGTGTACAAACACTCAGATACTGGCTGCTGTCTTATAGGTTGAGTATTCCTTCTCCAAAATGCTTGGGACCAGAAGCATTCCGCATTTCAGAATGCAGTATTTGCATAGTTTTTTGTTTTTGTTTTTTGGTACCGGGGATCGAACTCGGGTCCTTGCACTTGCACAGCAGGCGGTGAAACCACTGAGCTAAATCCCCAGCCCTATTTGCATAGTTTTGACTAGCTAAGCATCCCTACTAGAACATCCAAAGCATTCCAAAATCTGAAAGTTGAATATTTAGATTGGGGATGCTTGTGTTACTCCTTCTCTGGACCCAAGAGTACTTAGGCCTCTCCAGCTGTGAGCAGAAACAGGTCCCACACCCTGCCAGGACTCCTCAGAGCCCCCAGGCTGCTGACCTGTAGCGAGTAGCATTTTCTTTGGCAATGTCCTCGAGGTGGAACTCAGCCCAGGGGTCAGGCATGTGCTTGGCCTTCTCGATTGCATGCTTCCAGGCCTCCTAGAGAAGACAAAGGGAGTATCAGGCCCCGTTCAGGAGAAGCCCAGTCTCCTCTTACCCTGCTGTTTCCCCTGAAGAGGCCAAACCAAATAAGGATTCCCATCTACTATTCTTTCAGGAACAGGGTTCTTCAAGAGAAGCTATGTGCTCTCATGGGCACAGCCTCCTTGTGGGAAGAAAGATGCGTCTTAATTACACACCACTTCACTTGTAGTAGAGAATGAAAATAAGATTCTGAAGGGGCCGGGGATTGAGCTCAGTGGTTTCGCCACCTGCTGCGCAAGCGCAAGGACCCGAGTTCGATCCCCGGTACAAAAAAAAAAAAATGCAGTTTCACCTTTGGCCAGGGATTTAGCTCAGTGGTTCCGTCACTTGCCTTGCAAGCACAAGGACCAGAGTTCAATCCCTGGTACAAAACAAAAAAAAAAAGATTCTGAGCTTGGGGTGTGGCTCAATGGTACAGCACTTTCTTAGCATGCTCAAGACCCTGGGTTCCATCTTTAGCACTGCAACCAAAACAGAGGAGGACAGAAAAGAAGAAAGAAAGAAAAGAAGATACCATTTCATCCATCAGATTGGCAAACATTTAAATGAGTTTAAACAATTTAGCCAGTGTGGGTCTGAATACGGGGAAATAGGTATTGTCACATACAATTACTAGGATAAAACTTTTCTTCAAGGCAATCTGGCAATGGACTAAAAAAAAATTTTTAAAGCATCCCTTAATTTTGACCCAGCAGTTCTACATCTAGGAATCCATCCTACTGAAACACGAGCATGCAAGCATATATATACAAGAAGTGCCACGGTAATTGTACAAAACGAAATCCAACACAAAAGGTCTGCCTGTGAGGAACGGTTAGATGCATTTTTTATTATTTCCAAGACTGCACTCATAGTATAGTGGGAAGTCTTGGTCCTACCAGCCCCCACACCCCTATTTTATAATAAATATTGTGTAACACATTTTTACTGTCCTGTATGCAATCCATCGGTAACCATCCCAAGCTCAGTGTCTATTAGAAGCATGCCAAAGCCATGTTGCCTTGACATGCAACAGAGCTCAGCTCTGGACTCACACAATTACGAGCCAATTCCCACGACACAACCCAAGGTCCCGTGGGGTACAGTAGGGTTCATTGTGCAGAGCTTCCTTACCCATAGCAGGGTGTCCAGTATCCCCTGTCTCCAGCTGGTTAATCCCAGTAGTGCTCCTCACCATTGTTTTTGTTTTTTTTTTGTACTGGAGATCGAACTAGGGACCTTGCACTTGCAAGGCAGGCAGTGGCACCACTGAGCTAAATCCCTGGCCCTTCCCCATTATTGTGATAATCCAAACCACCCCTCAAAACACTCGAAAGGTACCGAGACTCATGGCGTTGGCAAAGATGTCCGAAGTATATCACAAAGAGAGCAGCTGCTAAATGCTACGATGGTAGGCTGCAGTTTGAATGTGTCCCCTCAAAGTTCATGTGTCAGAACTTAAACCCCAAATTCACATGTTAATGACATCTGGGGGTGAGGTTGTGATGTTGGGGCCCCCTTGGTGACATTAGTAGCTTTAGCAGAGGGAGCGAGGCCAGAGCTGTTACATCCTCTGTCCTCCACCACGTTGTGGCAGCAAAAGGGCCCTCACCCGGTGCCAGCCACAAGAACCATGAGCCATTAAACTTTGATGCCTTATAAATTACCTAACAATGGTTATTTTGTTATAGCAACAGACAACAGACTACAACTTGGTTCAATCCCATTTTTGTTCTTAAGAGGCCGTTTCATCTAGGAAGCCTAGGGTGTAGTTCAGTGGTGCAGCTTAGCGTAAGGGGCTCTGGGTTCAATCTTGAACAACAAAAAAACCCCAAAAACAACAAACAAAAAACCAAGCTCATTTAATTGCTTTTGTGATACCAAGTAGAATCCTCCCTGTTCCTTCAAAACCAACTTGTACATCCACGGCAAATAGCAGTCCCCTTTTGCTCTCTTCCTAAAGAAGCTCAATCATTGCTCTGTGCCTTCTCCAGAATCTGTGAGACCCTGAATTTCTTCCAAGCCAGAGGCTGGGCCGTGGGGAGGAGAATTGATGGTGGACCAGACGGAGCAGGCCCCAGCAGCTCTGGGATGGCAGGAACACAAGGGACACCAATCCGTGCCTCCCATTCTTGCCAGGGGTCCCAGCCAGCCTCCCTGGAGTTCAGCTTCCCAGGGACTCTGACCCAAATGCAGCTGCACCATGCCCACCCTCTCACCATGGCCCCTGATGGGACTCTGTTAAAACAGAAGAGGTCAGGCAGAGGAGCTGGTATTATAGACAGACACGCACACACACAAATACACACACACAGCCCAGGGCTCCCTAGCTGGGGCTTTTTAATCTCTGCAAAGTACAAAAAATGAAGCCCATAGCCTTCTTTCAACTCAATGTGTAAGCTAATTTGGGCTTAATGAAAACACTTGGAAAATCCAACCTATGCTATTCACCCAGAGCAGCTCTTGCCCAGGGCCTTCAAGTCCTTTCCCAAGACCTTTACATGCATTTAAAAAATAAGACTGTAATCACACAGTAAATATAACATCCTGTCAAGAGAGTGGCTCAGTGGGATTTCATACTTTATTTAGTGACTGACTCTGCTTTATTTTTCTGACTCCAAAAAGATGACATGCGTAACATAAAATCTGCAAGCTCTACAAAATTCCAAATTAGAACATGGAAGTCCTGCCTCACTACCTCCTCTGAAAACCACTGCTGACAACTGATGTAGCTACCTTGCCAGTTTACCTCTGCCTTTAACACAGTGTTTATTTAAAAGCCACAGGGCCACACCACACATTCGTTCTGCATCTGACTTTCCCCCACTTTCTGTGGGATCTTGGATGGCTTTCCATATCACATGTCCAGACTGCCTGGCTGCCCTCATTTCCTTTCCAGGGCTGTGGGATATATGATCGTACAGATGTCCCCTAAGGTATGTGCCTAACACCTAATCAATGGATACTTGGATTCTCTCCAATATATCTTGGCACAAACAGTGCTGAGGTGAACATTCCCATATCGCAATCTTTGCTCACTCATGTAAGATCTCAGTGATCTATCTACAGTACCTGGCTCAGTGGAGGCCTAGTATGGGCAAGGCCCTGGGTTCAATCCCTAGCACTACAGAAAAAAGAAAAGAAAGAAATTGCCAAGCTAGAAGGCTAGAAATTGTCAAGTTCTTTTTCAAAAAGGTTCTTGTGAGGAAATAGCAAGTCACTTAAATTTGTGTGTGTATGTACATGTATGCGTGTGCGTGTGTGTTTTAGTTTCTGGGAATCAAACCCAAGGGTGCTTTGCCACTGAGGTATATTCCCAGACTCTTTTATTTTTATTTAGGGTCTTGCTAAGTTGTCAGGCAGGACTTGAACTTGTGATCTTCCTGCCTCAGCCTCTCAAAAGTGCTGGGATCATAGCTGTGCACTTCACCTGGCTCCATGCTTTTTTTTTTGGTACCGGGGATCAAACTCGGGACCTTGCGCTTGCCAGGCAGGCGCCGGAACCACTGAGCTAAATCTCCAGCCCATGGCTCCTTCTTTTTTTTTTTTTTTTTTTTAACACAAACATTCTATCAAATAACGGTAAAACTTATAAGTTAGTTTACAACCTGTTTTACCAGGAACCATCCTCTGCATGAGTTTATCATTACTGACTTAACTATTCACCTGTTCTCCACCATTAGACTTTGAACTTGGCACTGATTTTTCACTGTTATAAAAGGTTTTCTGAATTTTGATCCCTGTACTTTTTTTTTTTGGTATTGGGGATCGAACTCGGGTCCTTGTGCTTACACAGCAGACAACAAAACCACTGAGCTAAATCCCCGGCCCCAATCCCTGTACTTTAAAAACGTACCACAGTCACCTCTCACATTGCACTGGGGACAGCTTTTGACGCCCGCTCCTTAGTCTGAGAAGCCAGCAGGCCACCCTTCTGAGCAGTCTGTGCAGCCCGAGCTCTGTGGGAGATGCATAGCTCTCTGTGTTTCACACAGTGACTCTGCTGCCACTCCCCAGGCCAGCAGCAGGGCCTGTCCCCACTCAGTGAGGATCATCATTGGAAATCGCCTCCTGGCTGGAGGCCCGGGTACCAACCAAAGACCAGTGAAGGAAGGAAGTATTTCACCATTAGAGTGCATGGCACTTCAAAGGCAAAAGTCACTTTTCCCAAACCCAGAAAAGATCCATGTTACACTCATTAGAAATAGGTAAGTTAGCCAGGGATTTAACTCAGTGGTTCCGCTGCCTGCCTCATAAGCACAAGGACCCAAGTTCTCGATCCCGGTACAAAAAAAGAAAAAAGAAAAAATAGGTAAGTTAGCCAGGCGTTGTGGTGCATGCCTGTAATCCCAGAATTTGGGAGGCTGAGGCAGGAGGATTGCCGTGAGTTTGAGGCCAGCCTGGGCTGCATAGCAAGGCTCTGTCAAAAAAAAAAAAAAAAGTTAATTAGATGGAATTTTTCTTTCTTTTTTTTTTTTTTAGTAGTAGGAACTAAACCTAGGCTCTTCACAAAGAGTTACATCCCCAGTCTTTTCTTATTTTTTATCTTGAGACAAGGTCTCGCTAAGTCATTAAATTGCCCAGGCTGGGCTTGAACTTCTGATTCTCCTGCCTCAGCCTTGCAGAGTATAGGGATTACAGGCGTGTGCCACCATGCCTAGCCTTTTTTTCTTTTTTTTAAGAGTAGGAAGAATTTATTGAGAGAAAGATAGCTTCTGTCTAAGAGAGACAGAAGGGGACCCAGAAAGTGGGTTTCCCCTAGCCTTTTGTTTTAAAGTACAATATATCTAGCTACTCAGGAAGCTAAGGCAGGAGGATCACAAGTTTAAGGCCAGCTTGAGACATTTAATGAGACAGCCAAAAATAAAAAGGGCTAAGGATGTGTCTCTGTGGTAGAGTACTTGCCATACATGCATGAGGTTGTGAATTCAGTCCTCAGTACCACAAAAATGAAAGGGAGGAGGATATAAAAAGTC